CTTTAAACACTAAACATAAGATTTTCTATCTGATCCTGGAGGCAACAGGGAGCCACAGGGGTTTATTAAAGGGGGGTGTTGATGGTGATGGTGGTGACACCATCAGATCTGTGGTTTGGGAAGATCACTTTGACAGTTGGGGAGAGACTTGAGGCAGGCAGAACAACCTGCTAGCTTGTGAGCGATCCCGGTGTGAGAGGGAGAGGCTTCCCAATAGCCCAGGCTGGTGGCAGTGGCAGAGGGGAGAAGAGGGTGGATACAAGCAATATTATCAAGGTAAAATCAACAAAAGTCAGCAGCAGGTTAGATCCACAGGCTAAGAACGTGGGTGAGAGAGGATGCCTCCTGTGAAGTGCTTTACAAACCTTTAAGGGCTATGAAAACACTCTGGTTATTATTGTTATTATTATTCACTCATTTCCTCAGATCTGGAGCATTCTGCCTTCGTATCCTGCCTTTCAGATTTCAGTGACTCTCTTCACCCTAGAACAAAATACAAGCTCCCTTGCCTGGCATCCCTGGATCTAACACCATCAATAAAAGATTTACAAGAAGATGTATAACAGGGGACTGCCTGTTATATCATTTGGGTCCCCTTGTTCATAATTCACATCTTCACAATGATATGGGCTATATAAATATGCAGTAGATTGATCTGTGTTTCATGACTCTGGCTGGGAAACTTTCCTCCCTACTACAGGAGACGCTGGTTTAATAGACTAGAAGGTTTTAGTTTTGTTTTTGTTTTAAAGCAGATTCTGCTCTGATCTAAAAAAATCCCCCAGCTACATTTGGTCAGGGAGGAGAGATCATTTGCACCATCCCCCTCATTTTACAGCTAAGGAAGATAAGGTCCAGAGAGGGTGAGGGAGTTGTCTGAAGTCACACAGCAAGTGAGTGGCAGAGATGAAGCTGGGGCCCAGGTCTCATGACTCCACCTCCATGCTGCCTCTTGGGTTTTCTTTTCTCCCCTGGTGGAGGCATGGCCCAAGGCTCATGTTCAATCTCCTGTCTTTCTGAAGCATGGCTATGGACTGTGAAACAGAATCTGGGAAGTCTTTACCAAGCTGCCCCTTCACCCTCACACTATAAAAAGGGCAGAGAAAAGCAAAATAAAAAAATTAAAGGGACAGAACATGGTATTCTTAGACGAAGAGCAGGAACAAGGCATTTTCATACCCCAAACCAAGCCTGGAAATTATCATCTCTGAGTGTGATTGTGCATGGAAGGCTGCTAGCCCTCAAAATGACAATACAAGCTGAAGGAGAACAGCTCAGCGAGCTGCAAGTCACAGAGCTCTGGTCTTAAAAACATATGCATTTACAAAAAATCATCTTTAAAAAGCACTCCCCCTTGCTCCTCCATGAATATTGTGCCCTAGGAACTACCCCTGGTTCCAGCTCTGCTTAGACATCCTTCTCTTTGAGGAAAGCTTTATAAGGATATGGAACAGTTTTATAACTTACTCAATGGCATGTGGTGTTATAGAAAGAGCACTGAATTGGGAAATCAAAGACCTGGGTTCCATTTTGGCTCAGACAGAATAGAACTTACTAGCTGTGTGACCCTGGGAAAGCCACTTCAACTGCTTAGAGCAGGGATTTTTTTTTTTTTTGTTGAGGTCAATTGGGGGTAAGTGACTTGCCCAGGGTCACTCAGCTAGTGAGTGTTATGTGTCTGAGGCTGGATTTGAACTCAGGTCCTCCTGACTCCAGGGCCGGTGCTCTATCCACTGTGCCACCTAGCTGCCCCATAGAGCAGGAATTGTTAATGTGGGGTCCACGAACTTAATTTTTTTTCTTTTGATAACTGTAGCTTCCTTTGCGATCATGGCATACAATTAATAAAAAGGATGACTCTGAAAAGGTATGCATAGGCTTCACCTCTGCCAAAGGGGTCCAAGACTTGCAGAAAAGATTAAAAGTCCTTTTCTTAGAGCCTCAGTTGTTTCACCTGAAAGCTGGGGGTAATAACATTTGACTTGTCCTTAACTTCCAGGACCATCACCATGATTGAGTAAGATTCCTAGGGGTTGGGAATGCCCTCCAAAGGCAAATACCTATGCTGAGACCTTACCATTGTCTACCACTACTCGCTTCCCCTCTATTATTTAGAAAGCACCAAGACATACCCTTGATACTAGTGGTGTCAGAGAAGACCGGGTAGAGCCCTCCTGGATGTCTGAGGTTGGGGGGGCATGGCAGTTCAGGGTGGATATGGAGTTAAGCAGCGGAAACCTCTTGGAGTAGAATCCAGAGCAAGCCAGGAGGAACAGGGCAGCAGGGTTGAGGATGTGGGGGATGATTGCAAGGCAGACAGCCTCAGAGTTCAGCAAACATGGGAAGTCAGTGCTGAAAGCATGCTTGACTCCCTATAAGTGGGTCTGAGTGGTCCGTGACAGGGATCATGGATGAGATGGCCCTTTGCAAAGTGTGCAAATCTGAGGGATTACTTTTATTATAATTATGAATACTTTGGGAACATGAAATGGCCCTTGCCTTCAAGGGGATTGTATCTTATTGGGAGAAAACAATCTGTAGACAGATAAGGACAGGAACTGGTCCTGTGACTTCAGAGGGAGGAATACTAGTCAATATTAGTTATTATTATTGCTGTTGTTGTTATAATTTTCTCTATCTATGCTGCCATGCTATGTTTTCTTGTTATTACTATTAATGGTTGATTAAAAGATAATGGCCTCTACCAGTGCTGGCTGTGGTCCCAATTTCGGTTCCCTCCCCTGAACTCCCACCTCTGCCCACCTGCTTCCTCCTTTTCAGGGAAACGGAGGAAAGAAGGAAAATACAATGGTCATAATGAATGAACAAGAGGGAAGGAAGGGGTGTTGGGAGTTATCTGTGCACACTGGGAATGTTGGGTTCTGAATATGGGGGTGAGCTGAAGAAGTGGTGTCCACTGGAGAACTCTATGCCAGATCAGACTGGCACACTCAGAGGTATAGGGGGACCTGGAGTTGCTTCCCTCTTCTTGCCACTACACTCAACATCCTACAATTGCCTCATTAGTGTCCAAGGTGACCTCGCCTCCCTTCGCCCTCTGCCCTCCAGGGGGCTGAGAGTGAGACTAACACCAAAAGTCAGTTTCTAAGTCCTTTTCATGTCTGACTTTCCATGACTCTCTGCTCATTGGTTGATGACTACAGAGGGCTGAGGGCTTTCCCAAGACTCTGAGCCAATGTCCCTGGCTCTGACTCCTTGTGGTCCACAGCCCAGGTTCAGGGAAGAGCCAGGGGCCACTGGTACTTAATGGATGGCATGGGTGGAACAGAAATTCCTTGAAGGTAGCCTCTAGTTTTTTGTTATTATTTTTGCCTTTGTCTCTCTGGTACCTACACAGAGCCATGTACCTTTTTTGTTTTTAGGTTCCACTTGACCTATGTTGGGAATTCCTGATATGGAGACTCCTTCCACTAATGTACATCAACAACTCATCCATAACTTAGAGTCTTAGAGAATTGTTCAGGGCACTGATGAGTTAAGTGACTTGCTCAGGGTCACACAATCAGTATGTGCCAGAAGTAGGACTTGAACCCAGGTCTTCCTGACCCCAAGTGGAATGCTGCCTCAGACAGCCCTCTATAAATAATGTTAGTGATTGTTATTATTATCCAGCATCTATTTGAATGGGCCCTGCCCCACCTTTGGAAGCAGCCATCCCATCCCACTTTTGGACAGCTCCGCTTATTAAAATGGTTATTCGGATACCCAGCCTCAATTTACCTTTTTGCTAGAAGAAGCCTTGCAAACCTCTCATTTTACATGTGAGAATTGAGGCTGGGGTAGGGAAGGAGTGACAAGCCCAGGACCCTCGTGCCTGATTCAGCTCCTCCCACGCTTCCTCGATGTGTGACCTTGGGCAAATTCCTTAATCTCCTTGATGCTGAGTTTCCTCATATAAAAACGGAGAGGCTGGGATTAGAGGGGATCTAAGTTTTCTTCCAGCTCTAGCTGCAGAGAGACACATTACAGCTTGATGTCAGAAATGTCCAGAGGGTTAGAGCAGCAGACCTATGTTCCCATGGTCCCTGTCATCACCTACCTCAAGAGTGATTAGCAGTAATGACTGCAACTAATTTACTTGTAAAATATTAATGGCAGAGGAAGGGAAGGGGGGGTGTTAATGATAAATGGCAACATCATTTCATTAAAAAAATTATGCTCTTAAATAGGATGTTGGTTGTGACAGTAAATCTCCCTTTAAAAACATCCACTTTAATAGTTGTACCCACGTCCTTTTACAGCATCTCCAGTGGGTGGTACATGGGGCCAGAGGGGGTGACACTGGATCTCTAGCATGCAGCCATGCAAAGTTCTAACTAAGGTCCCTGATCCCCACAGGCAATGCTCACTGGCCCGGCTCTGTGCTCCAACATGCTGGTAATTGTTCCAATCCTGAGAGTTTTCCCCATGGGAGTCCCTGCTCCTCTTATCTCCCTATCAGAGAAAGAACAGAGGAGAGAGGAGGAAACTCTTGGTGGTCTCAGTGACAAGGTTAGAGGAATAAAGTTCTCTCTTCTTCTTCTTTTTTATTCTTTACAGAGGTAAGCAGTCCTGTATCCCACCCTGCCCATGATGGATATTGAGTTTTGGGGCAGGCAGGTCAAATGGAAAAATAATAGAGTTATAGGTCTGAATTCTCTCCCTCCCTCCTCCCCAGGACTGTGAGAAATCCAGTTTCAGTTATAAAAAAAAAGAAAAGAAAAGAAGATGAAAACAGCAGTGCCCTTGTTTTCTTTGTAAATGAAGTTGGTGCTCCTGGTCCTCTCCTGGCAGACCGGTTGTTTCTCGCCCAGTAGGGATGGGTGGCCCTGAGATATTCACATGCTCTTTCCCAGACCCCCCTCCCCACAGGCCTTTGGCATGCATTTATGAGAGGCAGGCTGAGCCTGGGGGGCTATCTGTGGTCAGAAAAAAGCTAAGGATGCATCCAGAATTGTATATGAGTTTCTGCTGATCAGATTTCAGTCCTGTGTGGAGTTCTACATCGATGATGCCTTGTCCGAGTCCTGAGACAGCAGGTCATAGCTAGCATCTTCCTCCTTTAGGCCAGTGTTGGGCATATCCAGCCGGCCCTCCTCACTGAGCCCTCTGGTGACACTGTCATAAGATGGGGGGAAAGACATGGTCGATGCAGTTTCTGACTTGTCTGGAAGTTCACTGTCTTCCTTCATCATGAATTCAATCAAGCCTTCATCTTCAGTGGCCCGCTCACATAGACGTTCACCGGCCTCATTTGGACATGCAGTGGTGACCTGTCGTAGGGAGTGGTGCATGAGATAATTTCTGTAGGCCCTTTGTATGATGGCGGCAGACAGATTTTCCTGTTTTGATCTCAGAGTAGTTGCAATTGGTTCATAGGAGTCTTTAGAAGGATTAGCAGCCATGAACTTTTCCTCCATTTGGGCCTTGAGTGTGTCCATCTCTCCAGATTCTCCCAGCACTCTCTTGGTAAAGGTAAACAAGATGTCTAAACAGTGAATCTTGTCCCCTGTGACCAAAGGCAGGTCCATCTGGATGAGTATATTCTGGTTGGGTTTTGGAATGCGCAGAGGTCCTGTCAGAGCATCTGCAAAATCTGAAAGGGCTGAAAATGTAATGAACTGAGTGGCCTCCGGGTCAAACTTCTCCCAGGTCTCGTAGAACATGTCAAAATCATCCTCGCTCAGTGGCTCTGTGCTCTCTTCTGTGGCCACGTTGAAGTTCTCAAGGATGACGGCGATGTACATGTTGATGACGATGAGGAAGGAGATGATGATATAACTGACAAAGAAGGCTATCCCTATCGTGGGGTTTCCACAGTTTCCTTTGGACTTACTGGAGTTTTCTAAATCTGGCTCACAGTACGGGGGCCCGGTGTTGAGGATGGGGCTGAGTAGCCCGTCCCAGCCAGCGGACGTGGTGATCTGGAAGAGGCAGAGCATGCTGTTGGCGAACGTCTGGAAGTTGAACATGTCGTCGATCCCGGCCTCCCACCTCACGTAGGCGAAGTTGGCCATGCCAAAGATGGAGTAGATGAACATGACCAGGAAGAGCAGCAGGCCGATGTTGAAGAGGGCAGGGAGGGACATCATGAGGGCAAAGAGCAGCGTGCGGATCCCCTTGGCTGCGCGGATCAGCCGGAGGATGCGGCCGATGCGGGCCAGGCGGATGACTCTGAAGAGCGTGGGCGAAAAATAGCTTTCAAGCGACTTCATGATGCCTGAAAACACCAAGCCTTTAAAGGAAGCAGGGAGGGGGATTTTCAATCTTTAGAATTCCAGGATCCAAATCAGAACAAAGACAACATCAACTGCCATCACTCGGTCAGTTCCTGGACTATTATCCTTCTTTCCTCCCTTCCTTCCCTCCTCCCCTTCTCTCCTACTTACTCCTTCTCTTCTTCCCTTCCTCCCTCCCTTCTTCCTTCCTTCTTTTTTTCCTTCCCTCCTTCCCTCCCTCCCTCCTTCCTTCCTTCTTTTCTTCTTTCCTTCCTTCTCTCTGGTACAGGGCCCTGTACATGGTGGATGCTAGATAAACGATTATTAACTGAGTGGCTTATTGAATTCTACTAGATACATCTATCTACGACTTAGAAAGACATCAATGCCAAAGGGTGTCATAGTGAACTCGGATGTAAGTTCTTGGAGAATTTGCTTAGCCACCATTGTCCAATGCTCTAGAAGCTCTTTTTTTCTTGAAAATGACTGGGGGCGGAGAAGAGAATCCATTTGGGGATTCTTCTAATGGAAGTTAGGGGAGACTGGAGAAATGAAGCCAGAGAGGGAAGCATGAAATATGTCCTAGTATTTTTCTCCTCTCCCTCTTTCTCCTCCCTGCCCCAACCCCACCAGGTGAAATTCTGGAGAGGAAAAACAAGGAATTTTGACTTTTTGTGGTCATGGTTAAAATCTGAACTTGAACTGGGGGAGATTTTTATATAACTGAACATCTGAACAAGCCAGGTCCCAGTTTTCCTTACAACAGAAATATATCTCTAGAACAAAGCCAGTGATTATGGCAATAAATACAGAATTTTTTTGACTGTCTCCAGAAAAACACGCCAGAGAGACTGAGACACGGCCCCTGGTTTCTTGGATTCCATCTGGGAGGGACAGCTGCAAACATAACTAATGTCTACACAGGCTGGTTTTTCTCTCTATTGTGCTTTAAATGAAGTACAGCTGGCATGCCCATAGGAGTTCACTTCCCATAATGCACGGTGTCAAGAGAGCATTACTTATCAGGAGAAATTCTTGGGACTATGTAGAACAGTCTTTTTTTTTTTTAATTTTAAAGGAGGGAGGGACCAGACTTGTGAATTCATTGGTAGAGGGATTTTTCAGTGAGGGAGATCCCTCTACCAATGTAGATGGATAAGTGCTCTGTAATGTGGAGTTTCAGAGAGCTGCCTGGGACATTGAAAGGTGAAGTCACTTGCCCAAGATCACACAGCTGATATATGTCAGAGAGGAGACTTGAACCCAGGACTTCCTGACTCTGAAGCTCACTGTCTAACCACTCTCATGCCACACAATTTGCTATATCCAACTCCAAAGCACTTGTTCCATCCAAGATGGCCCTATATTAGCTATGTCATCAAGAAGACTGCGATGGTAAAGACATGTGTGAGGGACCTTGAGGAGAGCCATGTGGCTTCTCGAGTGAATGTTGAAGTTCAAAGAAGCATCACTTTGTGACTCCCTCATCAGTTTCTTAAGCAGCCCAGCTGCTAACTACACCCAGACTAGGAGCCCAGGGCACCCCCTTCCTCCACATGATCACTTACTGGCAACTGAGAGGATCACAACAATTAAATCAAAGATGTTCCACCCGTTGATGAAATAGTAATGTCTCAGGGCAAACACCTTCAGGACACACTCTGCTGTGAAGGTGGCAACGAAGAACTGGTTGATCCGGTTGAGGATTCTGGTCTTCTCCTCACTCTGGTTATCTGTCTCTACCATCATGGTGATCATATTAAGGCAGATGAGGACCATGATGGCCACGTCGAAGGCTTGTTTGGTTACAATATCAAACATGAAGCCTTGGTATTTGTTCTGGGAAAAGGAGAAGGGGTCATGTTGGCCAGTCAATAAGCATTTATTAAGTACGTAGTATGTGTTAATGAGATTTGGAAATGGGACATAGCATGGTAGGGTGGGAGTGAGGACATAACTAGAAATTCTGGTGCCTAGGACAAGCATCCCAAAATGCTTTTAGAGTAAGACATATTGTGAGTGTGTGTGTGTGTGTGTGTGTGTGTGTGTGTGTGTGTGTATGTTTGTGGAGGGGGCTGGGAGGAATAGGAATGGGGACAGAAGGAAAGACCTTGAACCTCAGGACATGAGGCATCTCCTATCACAGAGGAGATCCACCATCTGATAGTTTCCTATTTAATAGATTAGTTTAGTTAACTCGGTCCTACACTCAGTTGTATCTGCTAAAGAGAAGTATTCTCTATGCCCTGGAGCAAAGCTGTGGTTATCCTCCCTTGGACATGGGTCTGGGTAGAGGTTCTTTAGTTAATTTTACTTTTGACTTCCCCCCTCTCCCTCCCTCACCTTCCATAGCCAATCTGCCCCCAAGTTGCTCTGATTCTTCCATCACAGAATCTTTCCATTCCCTTTATCACTACCTAATTTAGTCCTTTATTGTCTCTTACCTGGGTTATTGCCCTGGACTCCTAACTGTTCTTCTGGCCTTTGGTCTCTCACCTTTCTAATCCATGGGGATTAGAAATTGGTGCAGTGGAAATGATGCTGGTTTTGGAGTCATTGGGTTGGGGTTTGAATCCTGGATCTGATACTTACAGTGTGACCTTAGGCAAGTCATTTTACCTTGTGAGACCTCCTTTTCCAGACTTCTAAAAGGAGGGGGCTGGATTAGATGACCTCTGAGTTTCCTTCCAACTTTTTGTTTATTATCCTATGGTCTTATGACAAGGACTATATTAAACAATTATGACAGCAGCAAGATTGGCAACAGAAGAAGAGATTGGAAAGGCCACTGAGAAGGAACTTAGCGGCCATTGTTACTGATGATCTAGTTCTTTCTTCAACAACTGGGAATACTCTGGAGTTCATGGAGCCCTGTGGGATTTTCTTTTTTACTTCCTTTGTTCAGTTTTGCTGCTGTCAGTGGTTTCCTATAGAGTTGCTTTCTTTGGCCCATGGACCCATGATTGCATCCTAATATGAAAATTTCCTTCAGCCAAGCAAACCAGGAACAGTTCTGTAATTTAGATTCTTAGGGAGTTCACTGGGGGCATTGAGAGGCTGTGACTTGACCAGGGTCACAAAACCAGTAGGTATCAGAGGTGGGATTTGAACCCAGGTCTTCTTGGCTCCAAGACTGATCTTCTAGGCACTGTGCCATCCTGCCTCCCTGTAGATGGTGATTAAATTTACAAAAAAATATATAAGACCATAAGAAATTTTGGGACTTACCAGAGGTCTTGGGATTGGTTTTTGAGGCTTCTTGGATCCTAGTTTTTTCATGGCATTATAATATTTCTTCTGTTCTTCAGTCATGAATATATCTTGACCACCTAAGTATAGGAATTAATATTACCATTAGCAAAGAGGAAAAGCAAGACTGGCCAGCTCACACAAGGACGGCTCCCTCAAATTTCACAGACTCAAGGAACTTAGAATTGGAAAGGGTCTAAGACAGCTCTTAATCTAGGCTCTGGGCTCCCATAGAAAGTCATTCTTTTGGACAGTGACCATATTCAACTCCATTCTCCTCACCCAATGACACAAACCCCTAATCTCATCATTAGCTCCATCTCTAGGACCATAAGGCTAATAAGTCCATCTGTAAATTCAAACTCTTTTTTCAAAAGACTCATCACAGACAGCCAGGGGCCAGACCTTGTTAGAGGCAAACCTGTAGCCAGCTGCAAAGGCAGGTAAGGACACTCTTTATGTAGTCATATACAAGAGAGCCTCAGGCAGCTGCACCTGCCTTTCAACTAGGCTGTTCCCAGCAACACATATTTGTGTTCAATCCTCATCCTAGACTGTTAGCTCCATGAGGGCAGAGACCATGTCTTAGGCTAAACTTTTATCTCCTCCACTACTTGGTACACACAATAGATACTTAATAACTGTTTTCTTGAGTGAATGAGTGAATCCCTGGGTAGAAGAGAAACAAGAGTCCAAAAGGTCCTTTCCTGGCCACCTCTACCCCAAGGCTGCCACCACCTGGTCAGAGAGAAGGAATTCCATTAGCATGTGAGCCCCGTGAGCACAAAGACTGTCTTATGTCTCCTGCAGTTAGCACAGTGCCTGGCACTTAGTTTGCACTGCTTGTTAACTGTTGGAAACAGGACTCTTGCACCAATCTAGAAGGGCCACAGCTAGAGACTCAGAAAACCACAGACCGAGAGCACAGAAGAGCTCCCCGAGAGATTCAAGGGGACTTAACTTAAAACTTAAAAGAGACACTTATCTTTTTCTTTTGTTGATTGAAATTGTCGATTATGACTCCAACGAAGAGGTTCAGTGTGAAGAAGCCCCCAAAGATGATGAAGATGACAAAATACAGGTACATGTACACGTTGGCCTCCCACAGAGGCTGCTCCTCTTGCTACCGTCAAACAGAGCAGAGGAAGCATCAGGAGTGGGGTTACAGGCTTGTGTGGACAAAGACAAACTGAATAGACATGGACCCAGAGGCATCCTCCAAGGGCTGGCTGCCCAAGGGCTCAGGTTTGCCCTGGCCCCAAAGATGGGCCTGGAATGGAAGCTCATGGCAGTCAATGAGAAAAGGTCATGAAAAGTTTGGATTGAAAAGTAACAAAGCACAAATGAGAGGCTATGATGACTGAGAGAGGAGACCTGAGCAGAATCTTGACTGGTGGCCATTGATAGGATTCTTGGGAGACCCTGCGTCTATGAGGACACTGAAGAGTGTTCCTTTCTTTTCTGCTTCAGTCAACAAAGTTAAAAGATGCTTTCAGATCTCGCTGCTCAATGAACCAAACTCACAGGAGGAGTAGGTAAGGGGTGCCAAGAAGGTCCTTTCTCCAAACATCTTGCCCCACTGTCCTGATATTGGGCCTGAAATTACCCCCTTTAAAGATTCATTCCTTTGCTAAGGCATGACTTATCTAGGTCTCTGTCTTAAAATGCAAATTATCTTGGAGCGAGAGGAGAGACATGGTCAGTTTTTCACATCTTAGGGAGAATGATTATGTCATATAGATGCACGGGAGGTGATTGATTGCCTGAAAGGTTACCATTAATTTCATTACATCAAGTTAAGAACTGCTCTCTCTAATCTCTTTTCCAGGCCCACAACTGCCCTGGGAGGACCTCCCACAGTCAGTCTCTAACCTCTCATCAAATGCCTTTCTCCCATTTGGGAATGGAGAGGGGTGCCAAGAGGAGGCCAAAGGACAGAGGGAGCACCAGGGGTTGGGGGACAATTCCTGTCACCTAAGCCTCATTAAAGGGAGAAATCTCCTGATTCACCATAATTTCTAGCATGTGGTCACTGCTTTCGCCTTCAACTATTAGACAGGGGAATTATGATGTTGCTGCAGACTGAGAAAAATAACATGAAGACATGAGGCCCCAAGGATTCTGCTCCAAGGTCACCGACCCACCTTCCGGGAATCCACAGCAGCGTACATGATGTCCATCCACCCTTTAAATGTTGCCTGGAAATAAAGGGCAGATGGCAGATTTCAGAGTTGGGCAGCAGCATGTGCCTGAAACCCCATTTTCAAATACTTTATATTACTTTTATCCCCATACACTTGGCAGAGAATTCTTACCTCATATGCCTCCATGAACTAAACATTTTCGTATATATAACTGAAGGAGCTTCCAAGGCTCTTTTTGGCTTCCATAAACATGGTCAGGAGCCAGAAGCCTGGGTAGGATAGGGGAGAAGGTTCCTAGAGATGTAGATAATTTAGTTACATCTGAAACTGTGGGCAAATCAGTGGATTCAGCCATTCTGTGGGTCTGACCCAAAGGGCCCTTTGTGTAAGTGTGGTATAGTGGAAAGACTGCTGGCTTGGGAATGTGGGCATCTGGGTTCAAATCCTGCCTCTGACAGTATCTGGGTGACCTTGAATTCGACACTGAAAATTTTGAGCCTCAGTTTCCTCTTCTGTAAAACAAGGGTGTTAGACTAGATGAGCTTTGAGATCCTGTTCAGCTCTATATTCATGATTTAAATCGCAGATTTGTTATTTACTGCCTGTGTGACCTTAGTGATACAGTGGATAGACTGATGGGTTTGGAGTCAGGAAGAACCGAGTTTAAATACAGTCTGAGACACTATCTAGCTATGTGACCCTGGGGAAGTCACTTATCCTCTACTTGCTTCAGTTTCCTCATTTGTTACATGGGGATAATAATAGCACCTACCTCCCAAGGTTGTCTTGAAGACCAGATGAGATAATAACTGTAAAGTGCGTGGCACAGGGCCTGGAACATAGTAGGTACTAAATAAATGTTAGCTATTATTATTATTAACCTCGATGTGCCTCAGTTTCGTCATCTATAAAATGAGAGGGCCAGACTAGATGATTTCTGAGGTCCCTTTCCGTTCTGACTTTGTGATCTAATGATTCCAGTTGATATCTGACATATATTTGATGGAGAGGAGGGGCCGATGTTTTACACTTCTATATTCTTACTTCATAGAATATCACGGAATAAGACTATGATGTAATCTTGGCATGGCTCATCATTCAAGCTGGCTGATATCTGAAAAAGAATCCCTCCTATACTGTCCCCAAAAAGCAGCACTCCAGTCTTCCTTTGAAAACTGCCAACATTCTGGGCACTGCTTTCCACTTTGGGGAAATTTTCCTTATAAACTGAATTTGCATAAGTCAACATAAACAGTCAGTTTCCCCTGACAGTCATGTAGGTACTTGAGACAGTTATCACATCCTTCCCAAGTTTTATCTCTTCCAGACTAAACATTCTTGGCTTCTTCAATGACTTTTCCTAAAACATGGCGCCCAAATGAAGGGGAATATGTCAGATGTGTAGTCTGACCAAGGAGTGAGGCCATTGGCTCTTTTGTTGAAAATATATTGGTCCAAACACTGGAGTAGAGAACTCCCATTAAATAAATTTCCTCCATCAATGCAGAGCAACACCTGCTTTAAGACTCAAGTCTTGTAGGGTTGCTTGGATCACTAAGAGTTTAAATGATCTGCCTAAGGTCAAATGGCCAATATGTGTCAGAGGTGGGATTTGAACCCAAGCCTTTCTGACTCCAAGCCCATTTCTCTAGCCACACTCTGCCATGCTGGTTCTTATTCTGGACATCATTCCTGTCTCAATGCAACCTCAGGTTAGTTTGGCTCCTTTGGCCGCCGTGTTATACTGCTGATTCATATTGAGTTTGTAGGTCTCTGATGTCTAGCTGTGTGGCAGCTATCTTGGACTTGTACCAACCTGTCCTTTATGCATAGCTGTCACTTGATGCTGGATGAAACACCAACACTTTCCATTCTCTGCAGTCAGTGGAAAGTTTCTCCTAGAGAGGGAGTAGAAAAGTTTCCTTTTGATCTCTACTTGCTAGACGTGATAATCGTCCTTTCTTTGTCATTCTTAATAGGAGCTCTTGTGGCTAACGGTCACTCTGTCATTGCTGGGGCTTCGTTGTGATGATGATGGGGTGTCCTCGGTGAGGTTCTGCTCCTAGTGGGCTCCCCACCTTTTTTTTCTGTAGGCTTCCCCAGTTTTTCTTGTGAGGTTCTTCTTGACTGCTCAGCTCCCTTTTTTCCTAATTAGTAGAGGTCTGCCTCTAATGCTTTAACACCAATAGAATTTGCTGGCAGCTATTGTCTGCAAGAAGCTCTTAACTGGAAATCAAGCTGACAGGCTTCTCTCACCTCTGCTTTTCTCTCGGGTAGATGGTCCACTTTAATCCCTTGACCAGGGCCCTTCTGCTCCTGGCACATTACTTCGGTTTCTCAGAAAAGACAGATCATCTGGGCAAGGCTAAGATATGATGAAGTCTATGATAGGAGACTGTATAAATGGAAGATTGACTCAAGGCACAGTTTTGAGGTGTCAGGTACCTTGGAAGTTGGTGCAGGAGGTGGAGTCAGTAGGCTGTTTTCATGAGGGGTTGCTATTAGCCATTCTGGTGGCCAGACCCTTGGCATGGCAGCCACTCCAGGACATAAATAGCCATCATGGCTCCCCATGTATGTTGAGGAGTTAGAATAGGCCCCAGAAGTCCTGGGGGATTGTGCTCATGGGATCCTTTGTGTAGGGGTAGAGATCACAAGGCCATCCATACAAGCTGGCCTTCTGTTGGAGTTACAGCCACCGTATTTTGCAGGTACCTGTATATACTATTCTGAATAAATCCATGTATCCCATGGCTAAGTTGTCCTACTATATTCCTAGTTCAATGGTTATGTTTCGTTTCTTGGAGGGGGTGGAGTGGTCTGGTGCGTGAGGGGAGTAACCCATCTAGCCCTGCTGGAAAGGTACAGAAATCTGCATCCTGAGCTTGCTGCTATGGAATCAGGCCTATGAGGCATAGCTGGTTTGGGGGAGCTGTGTAATCTGCTGGCTGAGATAGTGCCAGGATGGGAGGGCTGAAGACGTGCTTTGTGCAGTGGAGAGAACTGTGGACTCAGAATCTGGAGAGTCCACACTCACTAGCTGTGCAACAATGCTAACCTCTCTGAACACCTGTGCCCAGCCTTCCCTTTAAAATGGAAAGACATTTGCCTCCTGTCCTTCACAGAGTGCTGAGATTTAACCATTGTAGGGAATGATCAGTGTAGAAACTCCTTTTGTTGATCAAGAAGATGCTGGGCTTGGAGTGAAAGGACATAGGTTCAAATCCCAGTTCTACCATTTATTACATGGGAGACCTTGGGTAAGTCATTTCTCTGTAGGCCTGTTTTCTCCTCTGTAAAATGAAGGATAGCAGGACCATAGAGCTGGAGCTAGAAAAGACTTTAGAGGCCAATGCCTTCATTGTATGGATGAGGAAACTGAGGACCAGAGAGGCTAAATGAATGGGTTGGAACAGAGGGCCTTGACAGTCCTTCTGAGCTCCAGGTCTATAATCCTATGATGCATATAGCCACCTCTTCTGCAGCTTTTTTGTCCTAGAGAGATGCCTAGGTCACTGAAGGGGTATGACCTGCCCAGGGTCCCACAACCTGTATATCAGCAGCAGGACTTGAGTCTTCCTGACTCCAAGACCAGACAGACTGTATAAACCTTAAAATGCTATAAAATAATGTGAGCTGTTGGCATAATGCCACAGTTCCTGGGAGGAGGCATTGGCTTGATGGCTGTGGCATCTAGGAAAAGATAACATAGCAAAGTTTCACAGAATCACAGATTTAGAAGCAGACAGGACTAGAGATCATATAGTCCAATCCTCTCCTTGGAAAGATGAATTAACTGAGGCACAAGGCCACACAGAGGTCCTCTGACTCCAAAGCTGCTGCTCTTTTCCCTGTACTTTGCCTGATCTCTTACTGATTACATTTAATTAGACTTAATTTAATTTCCATTAATCCTTTGATCGTTTTGTTGTAGCTGTAGACCTGGGATATTAATACAGCAGATTCCTGAGGATTCAGCATTCCCATGGCAAGATGGGTGATGCACACCCTGGGAAACAACATCTTTTGTATTGACCCATTGAGCAAGAATTATATGCTTTCTGTTTGATAGCTTGCAACCCAGTGCCAACAAGGTGGCATGGGGAGCAGAAGCAAAAGATTCAAACCGGAGAAGTGGGAATTTGTGGGGGGGGCACCCTTGTATGTAGTAGGGAATGGAGTGAAAGTTTTCTTTCTCATTTATTCTGCTCTGCTTTTTCTTTAAATGTCTTTTGCCGTGGACTAATAAACCTCTGGCTGGTTTGCATTGGTGGGGGCTCGTGAGCTGAGGCTTTAAGTGAAAGCTGATTGATAATATGCCTTTAACCTAGAAGAGCTTTCTATGCTTAGAATCTATAAAGACTAGTTAGACTGAGCTATCCACTCTAATGAACGGCATGAGCTTTACCTATGCATGGATTCCTATCACAATGTCCATTTCTTCCTGCCATTCTTAGAAACAAACTAGAACTGGCAGAATGCTCAGTGGCATTCAGTTTATGCGAACCCACACTGCCCTTTGGCTTTGGAGTGCCATATTTCTATGACTTCTCCTTGGCCATCTCCTCTATCATATTATTCTCCCAATGACAAGAGAGAAGAAGGGAACTTACCACTTGCAGAAGCGCAAGGTAACCTATTCCCACATTATTAAAGTTGACTTTCACAGTGTCCCAGAACAGGCCTGAACTATTCTGCTCATTACATTGGGTCTTGTTATTGGCAATCGACACATTCACAGGGGAGAAGTCTCCCAGGGTGATATTAATGCATTTGCCAAATTTTCCTGAAAAGAGATTCACTCCCATGATGCTGAAGATGAGCCAGAAGATAAGACAGACCAGAAGGACATTCATGATGGAAGGGATTGCACCAACCAGGGCATCTACAACCACCTGAAAATAAAAAAAGGGGGGGAAGAGGGAGAGAGAGAGGGGAAGGGAGAGGGGAAAAGGGGTAAGAAAAGGGGGAGAGAGGAAAAGAGAGAGAGAACAATGACTATATTTACTTATAAAATGGACAAGTTACAGAAAAATCGAACTGATTGGACAATAGAATAATTTTCTGTCTTTGAAAGTGGTAAGACACTGGGATTGGACACAAAGAGGTTGCAGAATTGTTTTTCCTCAGAGTTTTTGGAAAAGTGATTGGGTTTCATTTGTTAGGAATGGATTCAAACTACTTGCCCTAGGACAAGAAACACCAAGGTCCATCAGTGTGGTGCAGTAGATAGAGCACCATGCCTGGAGTCAGGAAGACCAAGGCTCAAATCCTGTTGCAATCCACTTGTCAGCAATATGATGCTGGACAGATCAACTAACCTCTCTGAGCCTCAGTTTCCTTAATTATAAAAAAAAGGATTACAATATGTGCATTACTCACTTCATGGGATTGTCAGGAAACTCCAATGAGGCAATATATGTAAAGCATTTCACAAAGCTTCAAGCATGTAAATGTCAGTAATTAGTAAGAGGCAAGGATAGACAATTTACTCGGCATGCTGAACACACACACACACACACACACACACACACACTCTGGATCCTTTCTTTGATATAACGAATCACAACATGGAATTTGGTGTCCAGCATCCCTCTGACTCCCAGGTAACCAAACAACAAAGCAGACACAGATTCAGCCATCATCACCAGCCCCTGCAGCTGCCATTTTTTCCTATAGTGTTTTTAGGTTTGAAAAGTGTTTTCTTACACACTGTCATTCAAACCTCACCAGAGTCCTGGAGGTGGCCGCTATACATATTATTATGAATGAGAAAACTGAAGGGCAGAAAAGCAAAGTGACTTGCTCATGGTGACACAGGTAACAAGTATCTGCTCATTACATTGGGTTTCGTTATTGGCAATCGACACATTCACAGGGGAGAATCTGAACTCAGGTCCATCCTGACTCCATGTGCAGGATTCTCTCCATGTTACCTGATTCCTCTCCAGCACACATTTTCACACAGATGCATGCCTGCCTGCCTATTTGTGAATAGTAGATCCCACTCTAATGCCTATAATTATAATTTTGATTATTCTTGCTACATATGGCTTTTATTATTGGCAATTGTTGCGGAATTTTGGAGGCAGGGCAGATGCACACACAGGCGGTAAAGTATATAATAGCTAGAAACCAGCCACTTTGGAAGTTTGGCACATAGGACCTGCTCAGGTAACAATCATCGCTGACACTTAGATAGTGTTTTGAGATTTGTAAAATGTTTTAGGCAGTTTCTCATTTACATAGGGCTGCTTGATTCAAGACTGGAAGTATAATCAAATTAATTTTCAAAAACCTTTATTTGATAAAAGTCAAAACTACAACTTCAGAAATAATTGAATCAGTTAGAACTGCCCCTTCCCTCATTATTAAGATGAGGAAGGAGTACAATATTGTAGAAAGAACCTCTAGGCCAGGAATTAGAAGGTGTGATTTTGTATCTTGGCTCTGCTCCTGAATACCTGTGTAACATTTGCAGGAACAAAGATGATGTGGTAGGAAAGTGTGGAGGAATGTTTGGGGCAGCAGCAAGCAGCTTGGTTTAGATACATTGTCAGTTGTGTGTGCACGTAGAAAGTGCTTACCTGATGTTTGTTGGATTAGATTGGGTCAGATGTAGAGAAGTAGGAGGTAAGACTGAATAGGGAGGGTGGGACTCGCCAGGATGAGGCAACTGGAATTTGTCTAAGCAACAGGGAGCTATAGAAGATTTTGGAGCAGAGGAGTAATGTGATTGGAGCTATACATTACTGGGGTTCCTCTGCTGGTGCCATGTAGAGTGGTTGGAGAGAGAATATTAGTTAGAAGGTGATTGAGAGAGAGCAGCTCTCATTTGTCTGGTGGGGCAGTTCTTGGATATGGACCTTAAGGTAAATACACAAGGGCCTTGATAAATGGCTATGAATGGAAATGGACTATGATGTGGGTCCATTTTTGGAACCCCTTTAAAGCGGCTCTTTTTTAGGGACCAGGAGGACCTGGCACCACCTAGTCCCAAGGGTATTCGCCTATAGAAAAATGTAGGCACTGTCACCATCATAATAACTAGCATCTATACAACATCTTAAGGTTTGCAGAATGCTTCACATACATTTTCTCATCTGACTCTCTTAACAACCCTGGGAGGTGGGTTCTTCTTATCTCCATTTTGCAAATCAGGAAATTGAAGCTTGGACAGCTCCAGTGATTTGCCCAGGATCACATAGCCAGTGAGTCCCTGAGGCTAGATTTGAACTCAGGTCTTCCTGACTCCAGGTCCAACTACACCATGCAGCCTCTCATTCACTGACCTCATCTTTTACAGATAGATTGTTGGAGACACTTAAATGATGTACTCAGACCTGTAACTAAAAGTTCCATGAAACATGCAAATGTCCCAACCTGGGTGAAAAAAGACACTCAAGGGGTAAGAGTTCACTCAGCTGTGGTGGGAACTTTTATTCACATATTCATTTTAATTTTCAAAAGGGCATTTCCCACTTGATGGGGATATCAGGACAGAGACTAAGAAATCCTTCTAAACATTTCCCAGTGGGATATCACTCCCTGTAGCAGAAATCAAGAGCAACTATCTTATCCAGATTTAGACAAGTACCATTTCCTGTTTCAGGCTTGTTTTGTGTCAATAAAGACACCCTGGAAAGAGTGCTGGATCTGGAGTCTGAAGGTCTGGGTTTGAACCCTAAGTCTGTTTGCTCTCTGTGTGACCTTGGGTCAGTCACTTCATTTCTATGGGGATCAATTTCCTCATCTGAAAAGTGAAGGGAATTGGACCTGGTGGTCTCTGAGGTCTGTTTCAGCTCTTAATTTATGAACCCAGGGGAAAGGAAGCGGTGGGTTTCGAACGATTTGGAATGGAGATCATCTTTACAAATTTTACCATTTCAGTCTTACCCTCATGCCTTCAAATCGGGACAGTGCTCTCAGGGGTCTTAGGGCCCGGAGGGTCCGGAGGGATTTAATGGGACCAAGATCAGAGTAGCCTAGTGTATTTGCTATGAGGCTTATCATCGAAACCTGAAAGAAGGTAGAAAAGTTACAGAAGGTCATACTGTGCGCAAAACTGGTTCTTTGAATTAGTTTTCTTCACAAAGAGGAAAAGCAACCCCACAGAACTGGGAGTGAGAGGGAACACGGTAGATACCATGTAGGGGTATGTTGGTAAATGTTTAACTGGTTCTTTGGGGGAAAAAGTGTATCTGTAACACTTTTAATTCATTGTTAACTTTCCATCACTTTCTTATGTCTAGACAATCAAAAAACAAAAAATCAAGCCTTAACTTGTAGCATTTGCTGATTTTTGAGGTATAAATGCTCACACTTGCATGTTCATCCATCGACTCCATGAACCAGGATGATCTGGCTCCAGCACACCCCCAGGCTAGGGGAGGGCTCCAGAAAGGCCTCAACAGGCTGAAACATTGGGCTGAAGCTAATCAAATGAAAGCTAAGAGGGACAAATGTAAAGTTTTACACTTGGGTTCCAAATAGAGGATGAACAAAGCATAGATAGAGAACCAAAATTCATATTTTCATAGGTTCTTTTCCAGTCAGATGCAAATCTAGCTGTCCCTAATGAGTGGAATTCTCTCCCTACTCATCTCCACTTCCTGATTTCCTTCACGTCTAAGCTAGTCCCTATTCCCTCTTACTCTAAGGTTGGTTCCAAGTTTATGCGGTATGGATCATGTTTCTATGTAGTTGTTTTTATGTTGTGTCTCCCATTAGAATGCAAACTCTTTGAGGGAAGAAAGTATTTTTGTCTTTTTTCATATCCTCAGTGCTTAGCGCAGTGTCTAGCACATAGTAGGTGCTTAATAAATGCTTGTTGACTAGACTCTCCAAGCTAGAAAGCGTCCAGAGAGCATGTCTGGGTAGGCAAGGGGACGGGAGCAGAATACCCCATGAGAGAATCAGATGAACTAACTGGGAGTGTTTAACCCATAGAAGGGAAAACTCAGAAGGGACCTGGTAGCTGTCTCCAATTTGTCTTGTGGAAGAAAGACTCCAGAAAACTCAGAGCTAAGTACTGGATAGATGGAAGATGCAGACAGGTAGAGTTAGTCTACCTAATAATTGAACCTCTCCAGATGGGCTGCCTCTGGAAGAGCATTCTCCCCCATCAGAGGTCTTCAAGCAGATTCTTGGTGGTCATTCTCCAGGGAGATTTCAGGTTTGGGTTGGACTACAGGTCCACTGAGGCCTCTAGCAACACTGAAAATCAATGATTTTGTGATTCTTGTGGCCTGAAGCACCAGGCTGGACACATGGGAAATACTTTATAAATTCTCCTTTGATCTGGATTTAAAATCAGAGAATCTATGTATGAGTCCTGTGTCTCACATATAATTATATGGCCCTGGGCAAATCTTTTTTCCTCTTTGAACCTCAGTTTCATCATCTGTAAAATGAGCTGGAGAAGGAAATGGCAAAATGCTCTAGTGTTTTTGCCAAGAAAACCCCAAATGGGGTCATCAAGAGTCAGACATGGCTGAAATGACTAAATAACAGTCAAAATGAGAGGGTTGGACCAGGGGCTCTAAGGCCCCCCAGCTGTAAATCCTGGAATCTCATGATTCCAGATGGACGTGTGGTAGGTTGCAAAACAATCCATGAACATCTGCTTGAGTTGCTTGGGTTCTTCCCCAAAGTTTGCCTATCTAGCAGTCAACAAGGGTTCCAGTCCCTGGCCCTGGACTTTCTCAGCTTCCATTCCAGAGTTCTTTCTGTAAACCCGGTGCCAATTGCCCACCCACCTTTTCCAAAAGGAAAACATCCCACTCAATAGCAGCACAGAACACCTCTTGTGATGTCTTTGTGCTCCACCCTGACATTTGAAGGCCTGCGGAAAAGCAACAAAAAGCACACAGGGCTCTCAATTCTCTCTGAACGAGGAAATAAGGGCCTGTGAGTAATAGACACTGCCTCAGCACGAAGCCCTCAGATGTTTCAAAGAGTTGACAGTGTTCCCCATCTCATCCATCTGCCAGCTGCAGTCTCTCTTTTGTCCCTAGAGATGTGGTGGGGGCTAGTCCCCAGAAGTCTTGGAAAGGGGCCCCCTCAACTTGTGATTTTATCTCAGCAGCCTTTCTGTGCCACCCCACCATGGGAGGGGAGGGGCCAGGAGGGCTGCACTCACATCCACGATGAGGAAGTCCAGCCAGCACCAGGCATTGGTGAAGTAGGTCTTGAAACCATAGGCCACCCACTTTAGCAGCATCTCAAGGATGAAGATGTAGGTGAACACCAGGTCAGAAAACTCCAGGATGGCTTGGAGTGTGCGCCTTTTCTCCAGATAAACATCTTCAAAAGCCTGCAATGAAGAGAGACAGACGATATGCCTACCCACATCATCACTGGGTGGAAAAGTGTCAAGAGATTCTAGCTCTTACCCTTTCTGAGGAGCTTCTAGGATGGCACTGTTTTTTTCTTTCTCTCTTTGTATGTGCACATATACACGTATATACACACATATATACATAGGAATATACTGTACATACATATCCATGTGTGTATATGCACACACACATATATGCATATACATACATACATACATACATACATACATACATACATACATACATACATTTCAGTTCAGTTACCAAATGGCCATTGTATCAGAACTGGGTGGGATAAATGCTTCCATTCAAGCAATCATGGGGAACCCTGCAAACAATAATGAAAGGAACATTTCACAGGATCCAGGAGTTCTTAACCTTGGGATTGTGAACTTGGTTTAAATTTTTTTTTTGTGGTTAACTGTATTTGAATATAACCAGTTTCCTTTGTAATCCCATGTATTTTAATTGATGTATTTGAAAACATTATTCTGAGAAGGGGTCCACAGGCTTCATCAGATTACCCTAGGGGGTCCAAGATGCAGAAAAGATCAACAGCCTTGCTAGGAACATAGATTTACAGGACAGGAAATTTACAGGACAGGAAACTGAGGAAGATGCAAGTGGCTTGTCCATGGTCATACAGGTATTAAGTAACAGCAGAAGGTTTTGAACCCAAGTCTTTTGACTCCAAACCTAGTGCTGTTTCTATTGCACCAGGCTACCTTTCTCAGGTTTTCTCAGACTGGAAATGAGCCAAAAGGAGTTTATTAAGAATTGTAGCCTGCTTGATTTAATGAAAACCAACTTCAAAATTTTGACACTTGAACAAATTGGGGTTCTCACCAATGTGGATGTTTCTTCTACCAATGCAAATCTCAACGCATCTGTGTGTTGTCATCCTATGCTGCTCTTGTCCCCATTTCCTGTGGTTCTCCTTATAAGGGCTTCATCCCATGTGCTGGGGGACTCCTTCTACTTGTCTGGACAATGAGGGGATGGATATTGATTGACTGTGTACTGGTCATTCCTCACTCTCACTATGGGACTGGCCCAATTTTTTGTTTTTCATTTTTTGTTTTTTTGTTTGTTTTGTTTTGTTTTGTTTTGGTTCTACATTTTCTTATCAAAAAGGAAACTGAACTCATTGCAAATGTATGAGGAACATTGGGCATTGGTGAATGGCTCAGGTCCCCAGATAGCTACAACTGGGCTAACTTCATTCAAGAAACACCCTAGGGGGACAGGGGCTGTGTCCCAGAGGATTGGCAGGCTTCAGCATCAGGAGGAAAAGAGAGAGAGGAGGGGGACAGAAAGAGTGGAGAAAGGGCTGGAGTTTAGGGAACCTCGGGTGCAAATCTGGTCCCCAGCACTTACTGTAGGACCCAGAGCAAGACTTTGAACTTCTGGCTCAAGCAACTCTGAAGGACAGGAAATTGTCAGTTCTGGAGGAGCTGCCAATCTGCCTCAGTATCCCCTCCTTACATCCCATTGATGCAATCACAGGTCTCAACCAAGACAAATAAAAAAAAAATTGACTATTTTCCACTCTGTTTCATGAATTCACACTCTTGCTTTCAACAGGCAATGAGGTGGTATAGTGAATAGAATACTGACTGGGACTGGAGTCAGCAAGACCTGAATTCAAATCCTGCCTCAAATACTTACTGGTTGTGTGACCCTGGGCATATTAACTTCTGTTTGTCTCAGTTTTCTCAACTGTAAAATGGCAATAATAATAGTACCTAAATTTCTAGGTTGTTGTAAGGATATAAAGTGCTCAACACAGTACACGGCACATAGTAGGTGCTCAATAAATGCTTATTACCTTCCCTTCCCATCTTTTGGGTTAGAATGGAAGTTCTGGAAGGGCAGAAATGGTTTTGTTTTGTCTTTGTGTCTACAGTTCTTAGGGCAATGCCTGGCACAGTGTCCTTGCTCAATAAATGCTTAGTTATGAATTCAGTCTGACTTCAGGAAACAGTACTCTGTTCACCACACTGCCTCCCTTGCTCTCAATTCAAACCTCCAATTACCAGGGCTCCACTGCTCAGCAGAATCATAAAGATGATAAAACTCTCAAACCAATTGTGTTCCACAATATGATAGCAGGTCTTCCTCAGGTTCCAGAAGAGAGATCCAGGAAACCTCCCTGTGTCTGCTGTGCAGCACGGACAGAGCCTAATGCAGTCTGCAAGAAGAGAAGTCATTGCAGTGGGGCATACAACATGGTAGCCAGCCAATCTCCCCGTCTCCAACTCCCCACTCCATTACCCACAACCAAGATTCAGATACCCTGGCTGCTATGCTTTAGGCAAGGCCTTCCAGAGGAGCTGAGTTCCAATCCCTTCCCAATTCTGCCTCTCATTATTCATAGGATCATAGCTATGGAGTTGGAAGGGACCCTTATTTTACAAATGAGGAAACTGAGGCCAAGGAAAAGGAGATGGTAAGTAGCTAGGTCCTCTGACTCTAAATTCAGGGCTTCTAAAAAGATTTTAGCAGTCTAGAGCATTGGACTGAATTGAATAAGATGAAATTAAAAAGGGATAAATGTAAGGTCTTAGACTTGGGTCCAAGAAATTGACTTCATAAACATAAGAAGGGGGAGGCATGGTTTATCCTTTTTTTTTTTTTTTAGGCAATTGGGGTTAAGTGAGTTGCCCAGGGTCACACAGTTAGTAAGTGTCAAGTGTTTGGTCTGAGGCCGGATTTGAATTCAGGTCCTCCTGACTTCAGGGCCGGTGCTCTATCCACTACGCCACCTAGCTGCCCCCAAGGCATGGTTTATCTAAAAAGTTCTGGGGGTCTTAGTGGATTGCAAGGTCAATATGAGTCAAAGGTGTGACATGGCTACTGAAATGCTACTTTGATTATGATTTTGATTAAGAGAGGCACTTTCAGTCATTTTTTTTTTTTTAGTCATGTCTGACTCTTTGTGACCCCATTTGGGTTTTTCTTGGCAAAGATACTGGAGTAGTTTGCCATTTCCTTTTCTGGCTCATTTTACAGATGAGGAAACTGAGTTAAAATGGGTTAAGTGACTTGCCCAGGGTTGTACAGTTAGTGTTAGAGGCCAGATTTGAACTCAGGAAGCTGAGTCTTCCATAATTCAGCCACCTAGCTGCCCCAAGCTATGCCCTAAGAGAGGGACAGTTTCCAGAAATAAGAAGATAGTTCTTTGGTACTCTGTCCTAGCTGAACCACACTGGGAGTTATGGGCACCACATTTTTGAGGACAATGATAAGCATCCAGACAGCTAGTCTTGAGTTTTGGGGTGGTGAGAACCAGTGGAAGGAAGTAGGGCTGTGTGACCTGGAGAGGCCTCAGGGTGGGACATGAGAGCTGGCTTCAAGTAACAGAAGGGTAGTCATGAGGAAGTGGGAATAGTTTTGTTCTGCTGGGACCCAGAGAGCAGAATCTAGAATGATGGTGGAAGGTTGGAAAGAGGCCATTCAAGCTTGATGTCAAGCAAAACAAAACCACTTCCTAAGGATTGGAGCTGACCCAAAGTACAGTGTGCTGCCTCCAGTGGAAGGGCTCCAAACAGGGTGGATGACCATGTGTAGTGGATGACATAGAGGATTGTTTTTAAGGCATAGGTTGCATTATGTGACCTCTGAGGTCTTTTCCAGCTCTCACAGAGTGGATTTGTGTCTCTGTGTCTTTGTCTCTGCCCTCTCTCCTCTTCTCCTTTTCACCATTCCCCTTTTCCCCAACCTGCCCTCCATCTCTGTCTTTTCCCTTGTGAGATATTGAGAAGTCTTAACTCATGTCCTGGCATATTCTTCTGGGTTTAGGACAGGTGTGGATTTATAACTCAGTGCTTATCTCTTCAGGTGAATAATTGTATGCCTCATATTTCTCATATTATTATTAAGTGATCTGCTTTTATTAAATAGGAGTCATTATTGAGTTAATTCATTGTTGATGAGCTTATGATTCCCTTGATGGACCATATACTTGGTATTTCAACTGCTGCTGAATCAATATGTTCGTTACAGAGCTGTGGATTCCCTCATAGGTTATATTCTTTTAGTCCGTATTAAATACCTCTTCTGTGTCATTATTTTGTGGGGTAAGCTTGCCAAGATGAAGGCCAAAGAAACCTAGGAGTTTGGACATCCCAACTGATTTGGGGATGTAGCAGACTGAAGAACTGGAGAAACTTGGGGGTTCCCTTCCATCTTTGTATCCCAGTCATGCTAATGCTGTGTTCATGTACCTGGATTAGATTGGAAGTTTTCTGTATCTGTGTCACTTTCTAGGTATGATGCCCAACTTAGCACCAAGTGAGATTAGGAGAATACAGCCTTTTTGATGATGGGAAGAAGGAAGCCGGCCAGTGTTTGAAGGTATGTTAATTAACTTTCCCTCCGTAACCTGGAACAAACCCAATTGAAGGATAGATCAAAGAGAAAAGATTAGCTCAGGGGCTAGCCAGGTACTCAAAGGAAACCAACTACTGACCTTCTGTGAAGCAATCCTCAGGCTCCTCCAAGATCTCGCTAAGATCCGTGATTTTCTTTAGTATTATCTCCGGATCAGGGATGTCCACAGTGCTGCCTTCAGAACAACTCGTGACATCTCCTTTCTGTAGGACAAAAGCACAGACCAGTGAATCCTACGGTCACAGAGCACCAGATGATGAAGGCACCTCAGGCATCTGCTAGCACAACTCATTCGGGAAGAAACTGAGGCCCAGTGAGGGGAGGTCTCCTGCCCAGGGTCACACAAGCAGCAAGCAGCAAAGCCTAGATTCATTATCACCAAGCTTTGATACTTTCATCTCTTCAGCACCCTCCTGCCCCTACCCCACTGATTGGAGGGTGGGAGAATTGAGCAAAGATTCCTCCCAAAGCCCCCATTTAAAGAGGACTGAGAAACCCAGACAGTTCTTCATTTCCCACCAGCTGCACTGCTTGGATTGACTCCACCACCATCATGCCCTTCTGTTAAGTACTTTCCCCTCCCCCCTTTTCACCTTCCTTTTGTGTCTATTAGATCACAAGCTCCTAGAGGGCAGGCACTGTTTTTCTTTCTCCTATTTGTGTACCCAGCACTTAGCACAGTGGTCAGTATGTAGTAGGAGCTTTATAAATACTTGGTTTTGATTTCCTCAACTGAGGATCTGCCTTCTACATGAAGCCTTTCTGGATCCCCACCCCCCACCCCCCAGCAACTAGGACCTTCTACTCTAAGGTTACCTTGTATCAACTTTGTATGGATCTTTAATATTCTTTTTGTTTCATATACATGGGTATCTTTATGCCTGTTACTATGCCAATTGTATGTATCTTTAACATACCCATTATTGCATATGGAATCTTCATACTATTAATATGTCTATTATTATATGTTTCTTTAATATGTATATCTTTATACCATTGATAAGCCTATTATCATATCTTTAATATACTTATTATTATATATAGATAGTTTTATACCATTGTCATGTCTATTATTGTCTGTATCTTTAATATACTTATTATATATGGATAACTGTATGCCATTGTATCTTTAATTTACACATTATTACATATGTATATCTTTATACTTATAATTGTATCTTTAATGTGGTTATTATTGTATATGGATATCTTATGTATCTTTAATATACCTATTTATTTTCTGATCACCTCTCCCCCATGTAAGACTCTTGAGGACAGGAGTCATTTCATTTTTGTCATTCTCTCCCCAGCATTTAGCCTACATACAGTAGACATTTTAATGAATGCTTTTTGATTGATTGATCCTTAGGTAAAAGAAAGGTGAAGTGAGGAAAACGGAAAATGTCCAAACTTGACTACCGTCCTCAGTTTCTCCTTGCCTGCTTCTCCAAAAGTCCAACTTTCTCAGCCCATCCCCCTCTTGCATCATTCTTTCTCTCCCTCACTCCCCAAGCCCAGATCCTGAACATATGCCAGCACCAAAACTCTGATGAGGCTCAAATCTGTTTTCTGTCTCTAAGGCAGGCTGAACTCTCCTGGCCCTGGGCAACTCTGACTTCAGGGAAGGGCGCTTTTTGCCTGTGCCCCTACTCAGTGAAGGAAAGCAGAGGGTTAAATAGCACTGGTGCCAGGCAGTCAGACTGGTCAGCCTTCAGCCCCAGTGTCACCGCATCCCGTGTTACCTCTGTGGGGCTGCCACCCGATTGAGTATCCTTCCATTGCTTATCCAGGTACAAGGCTAAATCTTCAGAAGACGTCTCAGACATGAGGTGATGTTGGTTCTCCTGGAGCCTTCCTTTTTCTTGCAGGGGGACTTCCTAATAGGAAAGAAGCCCAGTGATCATCCATCTTCAGGGTCAGCCCTGTGGTCTGAAACCCCAAGAAACTGGGTTTCAAATCCCTAGAGAAAGTTCTTATATGAATACAATTTAAACAAACGTGAAGATAGAGGCCATTGCATGAGAGCTCTCAACAAACCATATCCTTCAAAGCTTCTCAGATCATCACTCACACTTTCCTCTTTGACCTCTTTCATGAGGAAGACAAAGCTCATCTATCAGAGCCCAAGATGTTGTTCCCACTTACAGAAAAAGTGGGCTGTGAAGTCGGCAGGTAGATGAAAGAGGAGGACAGAAGAATTCCCCTTGACCCACCCACAGGACCTTGTTCTAGTCCTGATCTCTTTTTCTCCCCAGGCACCTTCAATTTCCCCTCCCCCACTGACTCCTCCCCATCTGGCTTCAATGTGCTCAGGTCAACTGAAACCTAAAAAAGATCCTTTCGTATCAGCTTTGCTCCTGTCCCATTCTTCTTGTTCCTTTCACTGACCAACTCTTTGGGACATAGTAGTTACCACTCACCAGACTGGCAGAGGGCCAGTAATGCCAAACATATCTAGCCCTCTTTATCAAGGGTGTAACCTATGATTAAGTGATTCTTGAAAAAAATATCTCTACTTCACTAGCCACTCTTTTCTCAGTGCCCTAGAATCTGACACCCCCTGCCCCATTCTGCATTACCTAAGACTTCTTAGTCACCAAATACAATGACTTTTTAGTTATACTGGAAGAAAAAGGAAGATCAAAGAAGAGCTAGGACTTTTGCTTGGTTTGGATGAGACCATGGTACCTGACACTGGAGAGAAGGCAGAGTGTCTTCATTTGTTTCTGTTTTCTCTTCAAAGGAGAATGACCTTTATATTGCAAATGGCAGACCAAAAAGACTATGAACTGATCATTGTTATAAGGAAAGAGATAGTCTCCTGGGTTAGATGAACCTTGTTCTCCTGTGTGAGAAGATGTGGCAGGTGTGATGGCTGAACCAGTGCAATGGCCTCTGAAAGTTCATGGTCAATAGGAGGGGTAGTACAAGACCAGAGAAAGGCAAATGTATTGGTTTTCAAAAAAAAGGGGGGAAGTAAACAAAGTCTGCAAGCTATAGGCCAGTAAGGTCTTCAATTCCTGAGAAAATCCCAGAAAGAGTGCTTAAAGAGATGCTTGGTCAATACCTAGGAAGGGAAGTGGTTATTCCAAAGAACCAGCTTGGCTTCATCAAGGAGGAATCATGCCCAACCAACCAAATTTTCATTTTCTGATGGATTACTAAATAAATAGATGAAACTGATGCTGTGGATATAGTTTACCCACATTTTCAAAAGGCTTTTTTTATAAAGTAATAATGATAATGACAAATAACAATGATAATGATAATAGTTAGCATTTATATAGTGCTTTAAGGTTAAGAAGACACGTTACAAATACTGTCTCATTTGTTCCTCACAAAAACCCTGGGAGGCAGGTACTATGATTATCTCCATTTTATAGATGAGAAAACTGAGGCAGACAGAGGCTAAGTGATTTGCCCAGATAGTAAATATCTGAGGCAGGATTTGAACTCGGGTCTTCTTGACTCTAGGTCCAGTATTTTATCCTCTGCACCTCCTAGCTGCCTATCTCACACTATTCTTGAGGAGATGATGGAGAGATGGGAATTCAACAATAGAACAGTAAGATGGATTCACAAGTTGTTGGGTATTCATGGTCCATTATTGATGTGGCAGGAGGTCTCCAGTGCAGTACCCCAGGATCTGTACTTGGCCCTGTGCTGTCACAATTTTTATTAAATTTAGATAAAGGCATCGATGACATTTTAATCAGATATGCAGATCACACAAACCTTAGGAGGAGAGTTAAAACAGTGGATGACAAAAGTCAGGATCCCAGCAGATCTTGCCAGGCTAGAGCACTGGGCTGAATCTCATCAGATGAAACTTAGTGGAGACAAGTGTAAAGGCTTACTCTTGAGTACCAAAGATCTGTTCCATAAATATAGGATAGGGAAGGCACGGATGGATAGTAGTCATTCTGAAGAGAACCTGGGAGTTTTAGTGGACTAAAAGCTCAAGATGAGTCAGCTGTGTGATGAAACAGCCCCCAAGTCTAACGAGACCTTGGAACTACACTGGGAAGAGGCATTGACTCCAGTAAAAAGGAGGTGATGGTTCCACTACTTTCTACCGTGGTCAGACCTCCTCATCAGGACTAGTGTGTCCGGGTTTTTTGCACCACCGTTTAAGGGTGACATTGATAAACTGGAGAGTTCCTAGAACAACATTGACCCACTTCTGGAGCCCAGGACACCATGGGTGGAAATTGCAAAGAGACAGATTTAAACTTGCTGTCAGAAAAAGCAAAATTAGCTAACAATGCTGTCCCAAGGCAGAGAGAGTGGGCTGTCTCTCAAGGGGGTGGCCCCTCCCTTCTTGGAGGCCGTCAAGCAGAGGCTGGCCAACTTCTCGTTAGATGGGTTAGAATAGAGATCCCTTCCCATACAGGTAGGGCTAGATAGCCCAAGAGGCCCCTGCCAACTCTCCAATTCTGGGATTCTGTAATCCTTGAGCCCTCTGGGGCATGTGCCCCTATCACCACTCCTTTCTTGTTGGAGACGCTCTTCCTTTGGCTACAGAGACCCAATACTTTCCTTTGACCTCTTCTCTTTCTTTCCCTTAATCCAGATGATCCTTTCTTAATCCCTTATGGCAAATGATCTCTAAATGTAGGCACCTGTGGGGCAGTGGGAGAATGCTGAATTCAAAAAGTCCTGTGTTCAAGTATCGCTGCAGACACTAGCTTTGATTTTGAGCAAGTCATTTATAACCTGTCTGCCCCAGTTTCATCATTTGTAAATAGGAATAATGACAACACTGACCTCCTCCCAAGGTTGTTGTGATGACATTATAAAGCATATAAATGCTCACTATCATTATTATTATTATTATCCCCAAATGTCTGTCCTTCACCCTTTCCTCTACTCTCTCCTTTGGCAAACTCATTTGTTCTCTAAGCTTCAGCTCCCACCTTGACATAGGTGCCTCTCATATTTCTCTGCCTTCCCTTTCCAAGCTTCAGATTCATAGCTATGACTGCCTACAGGTGAAGTCACAGGTCCTATACTGTACAATGTTATCTTATTATATATTCCAAGCACCATGCTAAGTGTTAGAGATAACACAATAATGGTAAGAGTAGTAGTTATAGGAATAATAAGAACTCTCATTTGTGTAGTGGTTTAGGGCTTGTGAAGCACTTTATAAATTATCTCATTTGCCTCACAACAAGATAGGTTATTATTGTTATCTCCATTTGGAAGATAGGTTATTATTGTTATCTCCATTTAACAGGTAAGGAAATGGAGGTAGATAGAAGCAAGTGACTTGCCCAGGGTCACACAACTCTAGTCAGTTGTTGAGGCCATATTTAAACTCAGGTCTTGCTGACTCCAGCACTGTAACCACTGTACCCCTTAACTATACCTGGGGAATGGTAAAGCATGTTCTCTCTCTCTCTCTCTGTACATATATATATATATATATATAGAGATATGTATATATGAATTCTTTTGAAATTGAAACAGAAAGACATGGAGATTTCCCTCTCATCATTTTACAGATGCCCCAAATGAAAATTCTTCACCTGTTTTGGAGCCACTTCTAATGCCACATTTGACTCCTCCTCCTCCTCCTCCTCCTCCTCATCTTCAATATCAGATTCTGCCACTGCCATTGGGACTGAGATCTCCATGTTGCTATTTACCATAACATTTCCATGGTCATTCATGGGGCACATGGTTAACTCCAAGGCCAGCCCATTGGGAGCTGGGTTATCTTTGACACTCCCGACATTGGTGAGCACCTGGGCAGCCACGTGGTTTGGGGCTCCTGATTCCAAGAGGGCCATCTTCACCATTGCCTTCTGCTTCTCCTCTTTGGCTTTTGAAGTCCTGAGCTTTCTGCCCCAGAAGTCCCGAATGGCCTGCGCTATGAGATGCGTGAACTTTTGAATCCTGGCCAGGGCTATCTGGAGTTTGTTCAGTTCTCCGTCATCTTCTGAGGCTAAGTCGTCAGCACTGAAGGAATTCAGCAGCAAGGCAATGAACAAGTTGAGGACCTGGAGATGAGGAGAGAGAAAAGAGAATTAGCTGGACCACAATTTTCCAAGTCAGCCATGGATTTGTAGATTGTAGAACATGTTCCTTAGCTCTGCAGTACCCTGGTGAGGGCAGCTACCAGCTGAAAATGAGGCAAAATGGGAAAGGACATTAAAAGTAGTTAACATTTCTATAGTGTTTACCATGTGCCAGGCACTGTCCTAAGTGCTGTACAAACAGTATCTCATTTGATTCTCACTGCAGTACTGGGAGGTAGGTGCTATTATCATCCCCATTATACAATTGAGTAAGCTGAGGCAGACAGAGGGTAAATGACTTGTCCAGGATCACATAGCTAATAAGTATCTAAGGCTGGATTTGAACTCAGGACTTCCTGATTTCAGGACCATGGTTCTATCCGCTGTGCCACCTAGCTGATCATTCAAGGCTGTACTGACACAAGCTGAGGGAGCAAACTGAGAGGACAGCTTTCCTGTCCTCTGCCTGGCCTGAATCACAGGGGACATCATGGTGCTGAGAAAAACTTGTTACCATATCACACAGCACAATTGGTGTGAAATTTTGATTGTTTTCATGACTCTGCTGAGCAGCAGAGCCCTGGTGATTGGAGGTTTGAACTGAGAGCAAGAGAGCAAAGAAGGCAGTATGGTGATCAGAGCACCATTTCCGGACGGCCTCAGATACTTCCTTGTTGTGTGACCCTATGAAGCTTATTTAACCTCTGCCTACCTCAGCTTCCTCATTTGTCAGATGGGGATAGTAATAGCACCTACCTCACAGGGTCATTGTGTACGTGTTTTTTTAATTATTTTTAAAATTTATTTATTTTTAGTTTTCAACATTTATTTCCCCAAGATTTTGAGTTCCCATCTCATCACTCCCCCCACTCCAAGATGGCATGCTTTCTGTATACCCCTTCCCCTAATCTGCCCTCCCTTCTATCTCTCCCCACCTTCTGTTTTCCCCTACCCCTTCTATTTTCCTGTAGGGTAGGATATATGTCAATACCCCATTTCCTATAATTCTTATTTCACAGGGTCATTGTGAATATCGTATTAGATAATATTTGCAAAGCACCTGGCAAAATCTAAAAGGGGGAAATCCTTTTAATTATTATTATCACATCAAGAGTACTGTTCTTAATATTAGATACCACATTTTTAGGCTTGCAGGAAAATTGATTTCACTTGTAGAGAAGAAGGACCCAGGCAATGTGGATATACCTACATTTAAGGGGGACATTAATGAAAAAATAGCAAAGAAGAAATCATCAAAGGGGTAGGAGAAGAACCATGAAAGGCCAATTCTCCAAAGCTAAGGTGGGAAAGAGTGTCAGGAAAGCAATCTGAAATGTCTAAGGCCACTGAGAGGTTTCAGAGGATGGAGATGGAGGAACAACCAGAGTGGTGGAAACATGGTCAGCTTTGGAGTCAGAGGATGTGGGTTTGAATGCAGCTCAGGGCTGGGTGCATTATTAACCCCTATGGGCAGTGGGTTCTTCATCTATAAAAGGGAAAGAAGAAATGGTTGAAATCCTGGACATGAATATTTGGATAGAAAATCCAGAGAGTTACTAGGACACCATTGAGCCAGCTTTGCAGCCCAGGAGATATGTTTACAAGGGAGGATGTGAACCCCTTTAAATGGGATCTGGCCACTTACCACCAGGTTCCCCAGCACCATCACCATTAAGAAGACGATGAGGCACATGTACATCTCAGACGCTTGCATACAGTCCCACATGGTCTCGATCCATTCCCCACAGAGGATTCGGAACACAATGAGAAAAGAATGGAAGAAGTCACACATATGCCAACGAGGCAGCTGCCCTGTGACATCATTACGGAGTCGATTGTAGCTCTCTCCAAATAGCTGCTTTCCAACCACGGCAAAGATGAAGACGATGATGGCTAGGATCAGGGTGAGGTTGCCCAAGGCTCCCACAGAGTTGCCAATGATCTTGATGAGATTGTTCAAGGTTGGCCAGGACTTGGCTAGCTTGAAGACCCTCAGCTGGAGAAAAGCAGAAACATGGGGGGGAGGTTAACTCAGTTTCATTATCATCTACTCAAATGCCCCCAAATCTTCAATGAAGCCATTACCCTTGAGAGAGAGTGGGCTGAGCAAGACTTTAACTTTGAGACCTGGGACCAAATCTTTATATGGCTTAGCTGTCATGAACCTCTGTGAGCCTCAGTTTCCTCATTTGTCAAATGAAGATAATGATATCTGTTAAAGTGAGAAAATGTATACAAAACCCTCTGAAAACTTCAGAGCGGCTTATTAGTGTCAGCTTTGTTAATCAATTGATCAATCAAAAATCCAAAAATAAGCGTTTCCTAAGAGACTACTATGAATCAGGCACTGTACTAAACACTGGGGACACAAAAAGAGGTAGAAGACAGCCCCTGATCTCAAGGAGCTTACAATCTACTGGAGAAGACAACATGCAAACAAAAATATACAAAACAAAATATACCCAGGATAAACAGGAAGTAGTTCAAAGAAGAAGGCACTGGGATTAAGAGGGGTTAGGGAAAGCTTCCTGGAGAAGACTATTCTGCAGCTGAAGTGTTTTTTAGAATGAATAACCTTTGGGTGCCACCTTTCCAGTCTTGTTTCACATCATTCCCCTTCACACACTCTCCCCTCTAGTCAATCTGGCGGCAGCCGATTCCCTGGCTATGACATCCCACCTGTGTGCCCCGAACGGGTCACCCTTCATAGTTCAAATGCAGACTCTCTACCCTTCTGCCTCTTAGCATCCCAGGTTCTTTCAAGGCACGGCTCAGACCTTGACTCCTACTTGAGGCCTTTCCTCATTCCTCCCAGAGTCAGGCCTTGCTCTTCCTCTTAAGGTTCCTTTGTATAACTTTGTGTGTATATCATGTGCCCTCATTTATGTGGATGTTGCATGCTCCTGGTGGACAGAGACAATTCTGGCTTTGCCTTTATATTCCCAACAACCAGAACAATGCCTTGCATAGAGGAGTCCTTTAATCAATGTCTGTTATCAGGAATTCAGTCATTTTTTTTCGAAAATGTCTCCTAGGCTTAACTGGGCATATATGAGATCAAGTTCCCATGACTCCCATGTTTCCAGTCTGTGGCTGGTGGCTTAGGGGCTAACAAGGCCAGAGTCATGGGTTTCAGCCATTCTATGGGTCACCTCGCTACTCTCTGTTCCATGATCACCCTCCCCCACCCCCCAGTTCTCTTGTGAATATGTGCCTTTGGGTACAAGGTTGTTGGGGGAGGGGGCAAGGCAGATGGCCAGAGTTTGTGGAGGAGTCAAAGCAAACCTATCCCTCAGACTGGCAGAAACAATTCAGAACCTAAGGCCTAGATCTCTAGATAGCTGCGGATCAGCAAATTGGGACTGCAGGGGACCTTAAATGTTGTTTATCCTAAACCCCTCATTTTATCGGCACCCATCTATGAAGTGTTCCCTGGGTTCTGAGCCCTGTGCTGTGGCATATAGAGACAAACAAAGCCTAGCAGCCCCTTTCCTTGAGAAAGCAAGGGAAGAGAGAAGAGCTTTGGAAGTGGCCACAGAGGGGACCCCGGCTCTGCCACTTTCTACCTGCGTGACCAAGAATAGGCCAGTCACTTTCCTTCACTAAGCCTCAGTTTCTTCATCTGTAAAATGAGGAGATTGGATAATGATGACCTTTGTGGGACCTTGAAGCTCTAAATGGATGATTCTAAGAAAATTAGACACACAAATGCATCAGTTAGAAAATAGCACTAGCCATGTGTGAGGTCAGGGAAGGGAGCTATTGATTCATATTGCATTTCTTATGCCTAGAGTTCCTCAATAGTCCCTTAGGGTAATGGGGTGAGGTCTCAGAACAACAATGATGATGATGATGGTAAAGATGCCATTTATATACCTTCTGGTTGCTCCCCAAACCTTGCCACCTGCACTCTGGTCATCTACCTGGATTAGACCCATCATTCTGGGTTCTGATATGTGAGTTTCCATCTTATCTTGCCTGGAACCAGGCCCCCATGTCACTTTCTGGTCATTTCCAAACTGTACCACCACAAGCACCATCTCTATCCCCTTCTAAAGGTTGCCTTCCCCCATTAGAATGTAAGCCCATTGAGGACAGAGAATGTTGTGTTTGCTTGAATTCTGTGTAGGCCCAGTGCTTAGCACAGTGCCTGGCTTAAATGCTTAATAAATGCTCATTCATTCATTCATTCATTCATAGTACTTTAAGGTTCACAAACATTTGAGCCTCACCACAACCCTGGGAAGTAGGTATTGGTGGTATTATTATCTTTATTTTACAATTTACAATCAGGAAACTGAGGCTCTGAAGAGTTAAGGGACTTGCCCAGGGTCACACAGCTAGTACATGTCAGAGGCAGGATTCAAACCCAGGTCTTCTTGACCGCTAGTCCAGAGCCCTTTCCACTGCCCCAATCTCTGTATCTGAACAGGCCCAGGGGCCCAAAGCTGCTGCAGAGCCACCTCAGCTCCTCCTGGGACCACTTGCCACAAGTGGCCTTCTGTTAGCTGTGCTACAGATTCATGTCACACTCATGACCCTCCCTGGGGCCTGCCTTGCTCAGAGACCATCCCCTCTACTATGGGCTTGGAGGCCCTTCCAAGCTCTTCAGTGGACCCACTTCACTTATTGTCAAGTGACTTCTGTTGGGAGTTCCTAGTATCCTGGTTTTCCTAATGTTTTCTGATATCAGTTCCTGGACAGCATCAAAAACACAACCTTGAAACATTCATAATGACCCAGCTGGGGACCTCTCAACACTCACTAGCTGTGTGACCGCAAGGATGCTCCTCAATCTCTCTTAGACTCACCTAGAAAGAAAGGATGATAGGATCCTAGCTGGAGACTAGCTGTCAGGGGTCTCTGAGGCCACTGAGCTCACCCCCCTCATTTGACAGACAAGGACACGGGGCCCAGTCAGGCTGAAGGCATCATCCAGGGCCTTGCAGATTGGAGGGAGAAGAATTGGGGTTTGAACCCAACGTTTCTGTCACCCAGTCTAATGTTCATTCTACTTCTGAAGGTTGTTCTAAGGTAGGTGCTTTGAAAGCCTCTATCTGTCGCATAAATATGAACTGTTATTATGAATAATTAGCATTTATAGTTTGCAAGGGAAGCTAGGAGGCACAGTGGATAAAGCACTGGGCTTGGAACCAGGAAGAGTCCCCTTCATGAGTTCAAATCTGGCTTCAGATACTTACTAGCTGTGTGACCTTGGGAAAGTCATTTAACCCTGCTTGCGTCAGTTTCTTCTTCTGTAAAAATGAGCTAGAGAAGGAAATGGCAAACCACTCCAGTATCTCTGCCAAGAAAACTCCAAATGGGGTCACAAGGAGTTGGGCATGACTGAACAACGACATGGTTTGCAAAGTGCTTTACAAATAAAATTTTGCTAGTACTATTTGTTAGTTTATTATTTTAAATATCATTTATCAGTAATATTGTTGTTCTCAGGGGCAAGGGCCAAGCAAAAGTCACTCTTCCTAAATTTCCAACAGCAAAAACTGCTACAGCCTGACTAGAGACAGAAGTACAAAGCTGAGTCTGAAGTAGCAGCTCCCCCTGCCTGAGGAAGGCCAGTGTCCACTTCTCTTAAAAGCCAATGGCAGGAAGATAGTAGGCTCTGATCGGGGTGAGGCTGCTGTCCCGGAGGGGAGTGTTGGGCAGAGGAGGCTCATGCATGAAAGGAGCATTTCAGGCATGGCTTGTAGCTCATGCTTGGCCCCTGAGTCTGGGAGGAGTTTGCCCCAAATCCTTTTGAGTAAAGGGGAAGGAGCAGTTTTCTTGGTGGAAACCAACCAGCACTGCCTTCCCACCTTCCCAATTTCCTTGGAAGGATCTCAGAACAATGACAATAGCTGAAATGCAGCCTGGGCTCCACCTCAGACCTGCCCTGCCTGGTAAACTGACCCCTTCCCAAGGGGGAAGGTAGCAGACAAGGCTTTGGCACACAAGGGCCCTTCCAGTAAGATGAAGATACAGATCCACTCATTTGTTCTTCTTCCACTGGCTCTCTCACACAGAAGTCACATGTAGAAAGCCACCCATCAAGTGATACTACCTGGGCAATAGCTGTTTCCTCCCTCAACCCTGGAGACTTACCTGTGTCTGATGCACATTCTACAAACAGCCATGGAAACACAGAACTTGAGAGCTGGGTGGGGCCTTGATGGCCATTGAATCCACCCTATACATGTACCCACACATAGAATAAGCTATCTCATAAGGCATCATTCAGCCTTGCTGGAAGACTTCAGAGAGAGGGTCCCCTCAACCCCTTCTCCCCACCCTCATCCCTGGCCCTGCCCCAGGCAGCCCAGCCCACTCTGGGATAGCTCTAAAAGAGAGGAAGTCATTCTTGACCTCAAGCCTAGATCTCCCTCTCTGCAACTCCTGGTACTGCCTTCTGGGACCTAGCCGAACAAGATTAATCCTTTCTTCCTCTTTTCTATGTCACATAGGCCTCTTTTGGGAGGCTGGTGAAGCCTTGGAACCCCTTCTCAGAACAATCGTTTTAAATGTATAAAATAAAATACACAGGATTACAAAAACGACTTATTTTGGAATCATTCTCAACATATTAAAACCAAATCCATGGATCCCATGTGAAGAACCCCTGATTTACATGCCCTCATTTTATCTTTTTTTTGTGATTAATTAATTTATTTTTGTTTTTTGGTGAGGCAATTAGGGTTAAGTGACTTGCCCAGGGTCACGTGGTAGTGAGTATCATGTCTGAGGCTGGATTTGAACCCAGGTCATCCTGACTCTAGAGCCAGTGCTCTATCCACTGCACCACCTAGCTGCCCCTAGATGCCCTCATTTTAAAGATTGGGAAACTGAGCTTCAGCCAGGGCTCTATCTGTCAGGAGTCAGTAGCACAGGCAGCATGGGGCTGCAGGGCTCCAGGGTTCTTTCCACTGAAGAATCCTCCGTTTGACTTTTAAAGCCCTTCCCAACCTGGCTCCAGCCTCCCTTTCCGGAGAGAACAATATTACTGATAAATGATATTAAAAATCATAAACTCTCCTTGACGTACTCTACTTTCCGGTCAAAATGGCCTTCTCCTTGCTCCCCATACACATGCCGTCTCTTGTCTCTGGGCCCTGTCTGTCCTCCAGGTCTGGACTGCTCTCTTTCCTCCTCTCCACTGCTTAGAAATAAGCCCTGACTTCCTTTAAAGCCCTGCTTGGGATGCCGCCTCCTACAGGAAGCTCTTTATGATTCTCCTCTCCCTGTAGCTGCCTCACCCCCAAATACTTTGTATTTACTTTGTTGATATTTTGAATCTATGTGTATGTTGTACCTGATAGGTTCCTTGCCTTCCTCAACTGCAGAGCAGGCACAGATATCCTCTGACTGCTTCCTTAGTTCTATGAGGATTATTTTAATTGATGACTGAGCTGGAATTCCGTGATGGTGCAGTGAGTAGAGCCAGGAAGACCCGAGTTCAAACCCCAACTTGGACACTTATTAACGGTATGACCCTGGGCAGGTCATTTAACCTCTGTCTGTCTCAGTTTCCTCAACTGTAAAATGGGAATAATAATAGTCCCTACCTCCCAGGGTTGTTGTGAGGATCAAAAGAGAAAATATTTGTGAAGTCCTTAGTATGGTGCTTGGCACATAGTAGGTGCTATATAATGTTAGCTAGTATTGTGATTATAGTCACTCCTCCTCCTGTAGAGTGGAAGTTCTTTGAGGGCAGGGACAATTTGGTGGGTTTTTCTCCCTTGTATACCCAAGGTCTGGAGGACAATATATACATAATACAGGCTTGTTGGATTGAGACGAGTTGAATAAAAGTGCGTTTCCCAAACTCCCCAAGAAGAGATCTTACCAGTCTAAAGGAGCGGAGCACGGACAAGCTCGCTTTTTGGGGCAGACCCAGCTCCACCAGGCTCAAGGTGACAATGACGCTGTCAAAGATATTCCAACTCTTTTGGAAGTAATAGTAGGGATGGAAGGCAATGATCTTGAGCACCATCTCGGCGGTGAAAATCACTGTGAAGAACTGTGGAGAGAAAAGAGGACAGAATAGAAAGCTGAGGGTGTGTGCCTCTAAATACCTGTCTGCTTAAGCCCCCTTTTGGATCCACATGGTTACCAGGTGTAGAATCCTCACTTATAGCTTGGGAGATTGGCAGTGAGAATGCTGGCTGTGGCAGATTGATGAGATGTGGTGTGGTCTGGACCCACCCTTGCCATTGGTGGGCTGTGGGACTTTGGACAAATCACTTTCCCTCTCTGGTCCACTGATACATGCACACACATATGTATATGTTGTCTATTCATACACACACATGTTTATACATGAGCATGTATGTTATATGCACATATATTGTATAGATACACACATCTATGTGTGTATATCTCTATATACACATATATATGTATATGGGTGTCTAAGACAGCTAGAGTGCAGGACTTGGAGTCAGGAAGTCAAGAGTTCAAATCCTGCCTCAGACACTAGCTGGGTAACCCTGGGCAAGTCACTTAACCTCAGTCTGCTTCAATTTCCTGGTCTGTAACATGGGGATATTAATGACACCTACTCCCCAAGTTGTTGTATGGATCAAATGAATTAACACACATAAATGCATTTCAAACCTTATATAAATGCTAGTTATTATTATGCATATATGTATGTGTATATCTTTATACTTACATACATACATACATACATACATAATACATGCATAAATATAGAAGGTCCAAATGAAAGAAAGATTTGTTCTTAATCGGGACAAGGGTGGTATCTCTAAACGTACCCACTTAAAGAAGCCATCATGAGTCGCATCTATCCCAACCCACTACTAAACCTCCTTAATTCAAGTAATGAGGCTGCTCTTCCCATCTATACTGATGAAATGGAGTAGGGGACAAATTCCTCTTGCCCTGCTCATGCTCTCCTGCCGGAGGGGCCATTTATTGAATTTGTGCGCCATTCTGAGCACCTTGGCTGAGGAGATAGGGCTGGATAATAACACCACCCCCACCACCAATAGCAGCAACAGCATCTATGAAGTCCTCTGTTCTGCAAAGTGCATTACATACATTATTGTGTTTGGGAAATTGCTCCGTGGTTTCCATGACCTCAACCGACTCACTGTCAAGGCTCTGGGCCATGGAAGGCAGTGATTATAGAAAAATGAAAACTGGTAGGAACTCAAAGGTCAATGCAGAGATGCAAGGGTGTGAGAGTGTTACCAATTATGTTCGAAGTGTAAGAAGTAGAGCAAAAACATGATTAGAAAGCAAAGAAAGGATGAGAGACAACAGATGATGGCTGAAGTGGCCTGGCGGTGCCCTCGAGTTAAGAATTATGGATAAAAGCCCCAAGAGGAGTGGGCTGCATTGAGAGGTTGCAATCTGCCTCATTGGAGAAAGTGGCCACATTACTGAAATCACAGATCACCCAGAGTAAACTGAGTACAAGGCAGGCAAAGGTATTTTTTTCTTTATACTGCGATGAATCTGACAGATACATGCCAAGCTTGACTCCTTAGAGAAGCCCCACAGGATCCAGAATAGCCACCAAGATAAGGTGGTTCAGCTTTTCTCTAGTCTTAAAATTACCAATCTCGGAGCCAGAGGAGATGTTAAAAGACATCTAACTTAGTCTCTTGCCATCAGACTGATGATGAATTAATATACTCATATTGAGAGACAGGGCAACCGAGACCTGTAGAGGTTAGAAGACTCACCCAAGGTCACAAAGTTAGTGGTACAGAGAGAAAACTAAAACCCAGCTCCCCTTCTTGCTATCCAAATAATCTTTTCAGTCACATGACACTGTCACTAACCTCCTGGCATAAGCTGAATTTTGATAGGCCCTTTGTCTTCCTCCTTCCCAAGGTCAGCCCTATCATATCAGCCAAGGTCAGCCATCCCATACTGCCCCCATCCTTCTTCTAGTCACCTCAACCTGTCTATCAGCTAACTAAAGGTCTCCTCCAACCACCTGCCACCAACATAACCTTTCCTCAGTGGAGGTTATTTCCATTCCTTCCATCAGCTAGAATTTTGGGTTGCCCCCTTTCCCAGTTGTTGGTTAATAGAAAATATGATTTACTATATTGCCAATTTGGAGCATTGAAGAAAAGGATGAGGTCATATTATAGTGCTCCATGGACATGAACAGGGTGTTGGTCACGATGCAGAGGGTGACAGCGAGCTCCGTGAACGGGTCCATCACGATATTGGCTATCAGATCTTTGAACTTCACCCAGGGCTCACAGCATTCCCAAATCAGATACTTCTGAGCAAAGCGGATCCAACAAGGGGGACATCTCTGTTCAGATTCTTCCAGTTCTAAATAATAAGATAAGAATCAACCTGTGAACACTTGATTACATGTCAAAAGAAAGAACTTCTAACAAGTACAGAACAGAAAGTGACTCAGAATCTGAGCTGTGAAGGACCTGATGAGGGCTTCCTATTTTCTAAAGAGCCCCAGGGATGGAAATGCCAAACATCCCTCTATCCCTGGCCTAAGGTTAAAATCATGTCAATGTTTAGAATGTCCCTCCCTATGTTTAACTGAATTCTCTCTTGCTGCTCTAATGGAGATTAAACATTAGTGGAATAGAAGTGAGTTGTAAAAATGCTTTAAAGACTTGATCAAGTTGCCCCTCAGTCTTCTTCTATCAGGATAACCTATCCCAACTCTTTCAATTTTGTCCCAGAGAACTATTTCCATCCTTTTAAGCAACTCCGTTGATCTTGTCTGGAACAGCTCTGGTTTCTCTACCTCTCTATTCAGTGCTCAGGAATCTCTTTTTGATGAGATTCCAAAATTCATTGACCCATTTCACTAAACTTGTCCTGAATTTCCTCCTGCTTTATTGAAGTTAGATTTGACTCAGCCCATGGCTAAATATGAGACTGTAGATTTGGTCTTTGGGACTCTTTATCTCTGTACCACTTAAAGTTCTCTGGACAGATTTTGTTCATTTGGAAAAGGAAATAGGGTGCTCCAGACTTAGTGTTCAAATTTCTGAATTCACAATTATTTCTATGTAGGAAACACTTGCAGAAAACCTAATCCTAACTCTAAATGTTTATTAACTGATTGATTATTTTACAGGTGAGGAAACTGAGGCACACATAAGTTAAGTGACTTGCCCAGTTAGTAAGTTCAAGAAACAGGATTTGAACCCAAGTACTCCTGACTTCAAATCCACTGTCCTATTTTTACACCTCTTGATAAGGTCTAGATTACAAGTTCCTAACCTTTAAAATATTTTATTAACTATATTTTAATATAATTGGCTTCCTCTGTAATTACATATATTGTGTACATATGTATATACATACATATATCTATATGCACTATATATATTTTATGATTTTAAAACCATGATTCTGAGAACGGGTCTGTAGTGGACTTCACTACTTCCAAGTGAGCATGACAAATGTCTTCCCTTATCCTTTTGTCTCCTATGCCCAAAGGGAGGAGGGATAGGAAAACCATCCTCCATACCCAAAGTTTTCCCAACTTTATATATAAAAAAATCCATTCTGTCACCTTCTCTAAAACACCAGGCCAAGCAGTTAGGCACGATTTATTTTAGACTTTCCCGTTGGACAAAAATGTCCATCATCCACAGCCTGGGGGTTGCTACTCCTGTCATGAACATGGCAGAAGATCTGGTTGCAGAGTGAATGTCTCACAGGGGACCATAGCCATTGTCACACCTCAGGGGGGCTCACTCTTCTTCTTCCTTGGGGATTTAGGGCTCCTGTTTCTCTCTTTGGGAGGACTTGCTTTCTATTGCCATTTTGGGACAGGTATATTTCACAATCACAGCTCCTGATTGATTCAGTTACCCCAAAGCAGTTTCCCAAGATAAATCCGAGCAACTGAATGACAACAACTGACATTTATATCGTGCTTTTAAGTCCATGAAGCACTTTACACTCAGGTGAGCCTCATAGACACCCTTTGAGGTAAATGCTATTATTCCTATTTGGCAGGTGTGGAAACTGAGGATCCGAGAAGTGTCAGGGACATACCCATGTTCTCACACAGCTGGCACAGGTCTGAGACAGGATTTGAGGTCCTGAACTTTCTGATCCCTCATGTTGGCACTGGGGTGACCCTGGGTTCTCCAAAGTAACACCGCTGGAGAGCAAGTTTTGGCTAACTCTGGTTCTATTGGGGACTTTCTGGTTCTGTTTTGTAGATTTCCAGCATTTTGGTTCTATTCTTATCACTGGCTATGATCTCATCTACAGTTCTCTAGTCTCAGTTCCCCCATCCCTTGAGCCAGGTGTCCAAGTGGCTCATCTCTCGACACCTGCTTGATAGATGCCTTCAGACCTTCCAGCCATCTTTACATGTTTCTCTTTGTCTGTGTATTAGGCCCTTCATGTCAGAACATCCACTAGGAATTCTTATACCCAGGATATAAAAGCTATACATTGATCACACATTATGCCCAAAGCCAGGGACGCAAACTCGGTCCCTCAGTTAATTTGAAGTTAGAAGTGACATGAGAGGGAACCCAATTACTTCTGGTAACAAAGTGCTAAGTCCAGCTGTTTCTCTACTGCAGACTGTGGGTATGGTCAGGACCCTCTAAATTTGGTGCCCTAGGGCAAAAGTCTGATCACACTGCCCTAGTTATAGCTTTGCTCTTATTCTGGATCTGTTTTACTTCCAGATGTAGATCTAGGTTTTTTTCTCTACTTTTGTCTTTTCTCCTTTTTAGGGGGCTAGACCCATGATTTCCTTGATATAAGCAACTCCCAATAAGAAAATGCTTTCTATCATTGTAGATTGACAGCTATTCTATAGCTTAGATTCTCAAAAGAGTTGTGGAGGTCCCTGAGAGGTGAAAGGACAGTGGGTATGGGTCAGACACACAATTTGAACCTGTCCTCCTAACTTTGAAGCCAGCTCTTTATCCTCTACAGCCATATTGTCTCGCTACTTTGCATATAGTAAGTGCTTAATATGTACTTGTTGAGTTGAATTAAATGGAATCCCCATTTCTCTTGTTCTATTCCCCTTAGCCAACTCTGGGTCCTTATAGAGTCAGTTGTTCTCCTGATTCATGCTGACATATTGCCTACATGACACAACTCTGGCCATAGTCAAGTATTCATAATATACCAATGTGGGCTGGTGGAGGTGGCTGGTGATTAACTTCCATAAAGATGTGAGATACAAGGCCACATAGGCAGGAGGAGGAGACCCTGGATAACTTTGGGGGTTTATCTTAGCAAGGACTGTAACAAAAACAATAGAAGGGAATGTATTAAAGTGAAAGACAGTTTACCCTCGAGGACAGAAGTAATGATACTGACTACACTCACTGCCCTTTTCACTCGGAATGGTTCATCGAAATACTCTGCAGACAAGGTGTGGGCTGCCAGTGAATTCTTCTTTCTGGCTTCCTCCGAAGTCTGTGGACATACAAAGGTGCAGTTAGGGATGAACCATGTAATGGGGCTCACCCAGCATCACCTCTGATAGGGAAGAGTGATGGTTTGTCCTCTGAGGTGAGATGCAAATTGTAGGGGAGAGATGGAGAGATGGCTAGTAGAACAGTGGCTCACATGATATGGCAACCAGGTTGTTGGGGATGTAAGGGGTGGGGTGGGAGCTCTCCTCTCTGCCCCTGCAGCAGCTTCTCCCTCTCATTGGATGATTCTTCCTAGAACCTCCATTTAAAGAGGGCACTCAGCCCTCCTATTCCTCTGCCACGCCCCAAGTCAGGTGCCTTTGTCTCCCTCCCCACTCCTCTTTCAGCTTCTTTTTATGTGTTGTCTTCACCCATTAGAAGGTAAGCTCCATGAGGTCAGTGGTTGTCTTTCTTTTGACTTGTTTTTTTTTGTTCCCAGCACTCAGCACGGAGCTTGGCACATAGTAAGCACTCAATAAATACTTGTTGAGTTAACTGACTTGGAAATCATCCATGTTGTAGAAAGCATCCCTGAAGTTGTTGGGAATTTGGACTGGATGATTTCTGAGATCCCTTCCAACCCCATGTTTCTATGCTTTCCTTTGATTTTATAAATGAAAGAATGACCCAAGAGGGAAAGTGATTTCCACAAGGTCACACAACTGGTGAGTGGTCAACCCAGGACGAGAACTCAGGTGGTCTGACCACCCCAGTCCTACTACTCTTTCTAATTTTTATCTACTTTATCCACACTTACTATGACGTTTCCAGGATGCACTGACCTGGTGGACCCAAGACAAGTGTGTAGAGCCTGGATATTGAACTCCTGAGGAAATGTGAGTTACAGTTACTATAGAGGACACACCAGGAAGTGAAACCAACACTATGAGGGGCCTCAGGATCAGGGAATGTGAAGAACAATTAAAGAAATTATAGTTGATGAGCCAGAAGAAAAGATGGGGGTTGAGGTGGAGAGGCATATGGTATAGCCATCTTTAATTATCTAAAGGGCTGTTATGTGACAGGGATTTGACCTATTCTTCTTGGCTCTAGAAGAGAGAATCAGGGCCAATGGATGGAAGTTTCAAAGAGGCAAATTTAGATTTGATGGTGGGGAAAGCTTCCTAACAATTTGAGTTGTCCCAAAGTGTAATGGACCATCTGAGGACACAGTGGGTTTCTACCCCTCCCCCCACTCAAACTCTTTAAGTAAAAAGAAGATGGCCATTTGTTGAGGATGCTGGCTAGGGCATTCTCACTGAGGGTGGGGAGGGACCAGATGGCCTCTGTCCCTCTCAGAGAGTCTTGGATTGTTCCACTCTAAATCCCAGATTGCACTAATATTGGTTTTCACACTTACCATATCTACTTTTCCAGATGTTTCAGTCACCTCTGAGGATGTTACATTCCCAGAAGTGGGGTCTCCACCAAACAAAGAGGGCTTCCCATTGCATTCCCCAGGGTTGCTTAGCTCTTTGCCATCCTGCCTGGAGGTGGGCATGGGAGGTTGAGATGAGGCAATCCTTTGGTTTTGCATACTCATGCGCCGCCCCATATGTGACAAAAGCAAAGACCCTCGACGACTCTCATTCTCTTTATTGGTGATTTTCTCATCATCGGTAAAGACAGAGTCCAGACCATCTTGACTTTTGAGATTAAAGTTTCCATAGCTGTACCTTCTCTTGCCTGAATTGCCACTGGGACCATAGTTAATGCTAAGGAAAGACTGGGTACCACCCCCAGAGGAAAAAGAAGAAAGTCATATTTTTAAAAATCTCATAGAATGACAGAGCCATCCTTAACTGAAATTGCCCTTTTCTCATTATTCCCTGGGGAAATCTTTTGCCCCTGACCGTCAGCCCTTCTCCTGGTCTCAGATAATCTGCCAAGTAACTCCATTCTTCCATGTATTATTGTTCCAGTTTCCAGTACCTCACAACTCTATGGTTTTTGTGGATGTGAGTGGTTCCCATCACTGCCACATAACATTATGGTTCCTTTACAAAAGTGTGACTGCTGCCTGTCCTCAGAGTTATATTTCAACCCTAGCTACTTTGGAAATACCTCCCAGAGTTGGAGCTCCATTTCAATTCCATTCAACCAAGCAAACACTTATTAAGTGCCTACTGTGTACAAGGTGAGAGGCAGTGCAGTGTGGGGAATAGGGGGCTGGCTTTAGAGCCAGGAAGACATCTATTCGAGTCCTTCCACTGACTCGTCCTGGCAGTATGACCCTAAGCAAGTCCCTTAACCTCTTGGTGTCTTAGGCAACTCTTTGAGGCAATAAACTTTTAGATAAGCTGTCAATATGCATCTGTGAAGGAAGTTTCCCCACAAGGAGGTCCTTATGCTATTAAATCACAGGTACAGACCAAAATGTGTAAGGAACTGCACTGCTAGTGCTAGGGATACAAAACCAAACAGGAGTTGGCATTCTGCCGAGGCTGGCCTCAAGGAATTTCCATTCAGGAGCCCAGGCTCTCCTTCGTGCCACAGTGAGGCACCAGAGGCTAGTTATAGAGTTGGCAGGGATCAGAGAGGCCATCAAATCCAATCCACTGAGGCCCAGAGTGTGGAAGGGGCTTGCCCAAAGATGGTAAGAGGAAGAGTTGACTTTAGTGAATCTGGTTAAATATATTTCTAAAGTAAAATGATAACTTTAATACCCCCTTGGGTGCCTGTGTGTGTGTGTGTGTGTGTGTGGAGGCAATTAGTTGAGTGATTTATGGTTTGTCAAACATGGTTCTCCATCAAGTATGAGGAAAAATTTCATAATTCCCAGGGGGGATAGTAGAGGATATTAGCAACTCAATTAAGATTGGATTAACCTAACTTTCACTTCTCATTTCAGACTATGGAATATTGGGGTATAGGGCACAGCTCAGCCACTGGCCTGTCTGCCAAGGCCATCTGAAGCAATGAGGTCCCCAAGTTTCAGTTTGTCAGGAGAGAGGATCTGCTACAAAACATCAAAAGAAAAGACGCAGAGACTCCCAGAACCTCAGAGCTGAAGGACACATTCTGATGCCCACCCGAGATCTGGAGAAAGTCAATATCAAAGGGTTCAGAGAAATTATAGGCAGGGTCTCATCTCCTAAAACTAGTTATATATGGGAAGTGAGCTCTCTCAAGGATGCATTATCAATGACAAAAAAGAAATTACTACAGGGCAGTAGAAAGAGGAGAATAATCTAGAGACTGATGTAGTTGCAGAAGGAACTCATCAACCAGCTCAAATTAAGCAAAGGTGGGTAACGGAGGCAACTCTAAGAATAGTGTCAAGGTGCACAATGATCTGGGGCTGGTAATAAATGCCAAGAACAAGCAAAAGGGCTGCCGGAGGGGAGAGGAAAATCAAAGAAGGAATAGAACCATTGGTCAAAGTGTATGGGACAATGATAATGGAACATAGGATGAAAGTGGAATCACTCACCTTATATTTGATTCATTTCTTTTCCAAAGGTGAATGATTTTTGTATTGGAAAGAGGAAAAAAAATGACTATCAGAGAGTTGAAACCCTCAATGAACTCAAGTCACTAAGCCCAGACAGATGACATCTTATGGGATTACGAGAACTGGCAAATGTAATTACTGAGCTGTCAGAAATCTTTGAAGGACTATGTGGAGTGGATTTGGTGCACAGGACTGGTGACAGGCAAACATTGCACTAATTTTGTTTTCCCTAACAGTAGGTTGACATCTGCCAACTCTTGACTGGTGAGCATGACTTTGATTCCTGGCAAGATTTTAAAATGTGTCATTAAAATGATAGTTAGTAAACATATAGAAAATGAAGTGCTTATCACAAAGAGCCAACAGGGCATCACCCAGGACAGGTCAAGTCAGATTAACCTCTTTTCCTCTTTAGATTGGGTTACTAGGAGGCATGTGTTGGAGTAAGCAGAAACAGCTTAGGAGAACTGATGGTTTAAATTTCAGTGTGCGCATTTCTACGTCATAAAAGGCTGTGATGCTGTCAGCACTTGATTTGTTGTTTTGTTGAGGTCTAGACTTACAAAAGTGATAAAGAAAATGTTAATAATACCAATTAAACTTAAAGTGTGTTCTGTGCTTTTTCTTCTTCTTCAGAGAGTTGGTTGTTAAATACTTACCAACACATTCCTGTTTACTAGATTGTTATATTAGAGGAATGCTATAGATGTCGTTTATCTAGATCTTTAGCAAAGCATTTACAAAGAATTTTACATACTAGGAAACCAAAGAGAACTGAGACAACAGAACAATATTAGTGATTAAAAGTGATGGAATAATAATAAAGATCTCTAAAATTTATATAGCACTTTAAGGTTTGCAAAGTGATAGATATACATCTGTGTGTACACACACAAACACACACATACACATACAAATATATAGATATATATAATTTGATCTTCATAAGAACCCTGGGAAATAGGTGCTATTATCATCCCCATTTTACACATAAAAAACTGAGGCTGAGAAATATTAAGTGACTTGTCCAGGGTCACATAGCTAGCTAGTAAGTATCTGAGGTGGAATTAAAAATAGGGCTTTATGATTCCAATTCAGAATCCCAGGGGTTCTCAATTTGTGTGTGTGTGTGTGTGATGGGCCCATTGGAATTCTGAGGAAGACTATGAACCCCTTCTCAGAATAATGGTTTTAAATAATTAAAAAACGCTAAATTTCAATTAGAGGCTAGTGAAAATAGAGATGCAATTTCCTCCCATCCAAATTCAAGCATTTCCTTAAATATAGCCATGAATTCCAAGTTAAGAACAACTTCTTTTAGGGGGCAGAGACAACGTGGCAGAGTGAAATCAGCATACTTGCCAAGCCGTCCCAACACACAACTCTACAACAACTTTTAAAAATGCGCCAAACCAAATTCTAAGTGGGAAAGTCAGCAAAAAGTCACAGTGAGTCATTAAGTTATTCATGGCAGCTAGGTGAAACAGTGGATAGAGTGTCAGCCTGGTGTCAGAAAGACTTGAATTCAAATCCAACCTCTGACACTTTATAGTTGTGTGACCCAGGGCAAGTTACTTTTAACCCTGTTTCCCTCAGTTTCCTCATCTGTCAAATGAACTGGAGAAGGGAATGACAAACTACTCTGGTATCTTTGCCAATAAAACCCCAAATGGGTCATGAAGAGTCAGACAACTGAAACAACTAAACAACAACCATCAGCTTAGAAGTCAGAAAAAGAGGTCTACAGATACTGGGATGGGGGCTGGTTGGGAGCATGGCATGAAAGGAGCAGCGCCACACTGGCTGTGGGCTATGGTAGCCTCAATGGACACTAGGAACAGTCAAGTACCCAGGGGTCAGTAAGAAGACTGAACGCCTGTCAGAAAGAGATCCCAGGGCACTGCTGTACCACTGGAAGTAGGACCAGGTGCTATTTGGAAGGTTTGTCACCCATTAACCAACTCTGGATCACAGTTTCAAAGAGGAGCAGTCCCAGTCACGTGGGAACAAGGGTCCTACATGTGTAAGGATCAGAGCAGTATAAAAAGGGTAAATTCAAGTGAGATATCATAAGCTATATAACAAGGTTAAATGGCTTACATTCCTATATGGCGTGATGATGCATGTAACCCTTAAGAACATTATCATCAGGCCTCATGATGGAAAATGCTATCCACAAAGAAGAAAGAACTATGGAGTTGAATGCAGATCGAAGCATACTATTTGCTATTTTTTTTCTTCTGTTGTGTTTTGTTTCCTCTTTCTGGTGGTTCCTTCTATTGGTTCTAATTCTTACTTACAACATCACTAATGTGAAAATATGTTTAATAGAAATGTATATGTATAGCCTATATCAGATTGCACGCCGTCTTGGGGAGGGAGGGGGGAGAAAAATTTAAAACTCAAAAACTTATGGAAGTGATTGTTGATAATTCAAAATAAATTAGTTTTAAAAAAGAACATTATCATCATTAGGGCAATCAGAAGGAGTCTACTTAGAGGATATGAGTATAAGTCCATTATGATGGGATAATCTCAAAAGAAGAATGGAAGGGTAATAAAGAGGAATGCATTGAGAAAAGGGGAAAGAAAAAGGGAAATATTATCTCACGCAAAAGAGGCATGCAAGGAAGAGTTTTTATATTGGGGAAAAATGAGAGGGGGAGCAGGCAATGCTTAAATTTCACTCTTATCTGAACTGGTTCAAGTAGGGAAATGTGTGTGTACACACATATAGAACATGAACACACACACAGAACATGAACACACAGAATTGGGCATAGAAATTCATCTTAGCCAACAGGGAAGTAGGAGGGGAAGGGTTAAGAAAAAAAAGGTGGGATTGATAAGAGGGAGGGTAGATTAAAGGAGGCAGTGATTAAAAGTAAAACAGATTTTTGAAGAGGGGGAAGGGTATAAAAAAGAAGGATAAAGAGAAAAGAATAGGATAGAGGGGAATACACAATTAGCCATCATAACTGTAAATATGAATGTGATAACCTCACCCATAAAATGGAAGAGGATAGCAGAATGGATTAGAAAACAGAATCCGACAATATTTTGTTTACAAGAGACACACATGAAGAAATTAAAATTATGCTGTATCATTTAATAATTGATTCTACTCCA